CACTGTGCTCTCCTTAGGGTTAGCCATGCTCGATGATCCTCCTCCAGGATCAGAAATTGAACTCGGAAACCCTGGCCCAATTGCTTTGGGGATTCAGCCATTCGTGCACATGATTTTGAATACCCGTCGGGTAGACTTGGCCGCGGAGGTCATTAATCGACAACCAATTCTCCATTGCCGGGGTTTCCATGAGGCATTCGCATTTCACCAAATCACCATCTCACTACAATTGTCGACCCCAGCTAGGTTGTTCCGCCTTCCGTTGTCAGGTGCTTCCATTCAACACCCGGACTCCGGTCGGACATCACTTCGTTGGATGCCGTTGAACTCAGTGAGACATCGCGAGCTGGCTCTGCTTGAGACATTGTACCATGGTCGGACACGTCTCCCTGGCGAGCGGAATTCATCGGATGAGGTCATCCCCGAAGATGCCAGGCAACGTGAAGAGTCGGTGAAGAACGACGAGACCGTCGACCGCAAATGATTCACATTCTCAATCGTCCCGCCCGTCGGGTCTTGCCACGGCGTTTCTATTGTCTCGGAGACTGCATCGAACACCGCCTGGAATGGATATCGAAGACGGGGACGCATTAGCGGGCGCGTGCTTCCTGCTTCCCTGCAGAGCGTCACACTGCTAACGCAAGAACGGGGTTCGATGTTCACAGCATCCTTAGCCGTCAATGAGTCAGCGGGAGAGGGAGGGAAAAAAAACTCGCTGTGGTGTGGTCCAAAGAAGACATGCAGCGCTTTTCTCGCTCCCTTACATGTGGAGTGTGCGGGTTTGCTTCACCGACAACGACACACGAGAATGCGATGTATGTCGCGCAACTCAAGGATCGCAACCCAAGGGGTTGGGGAGGGTAACAACCGGATACTATGTGGCTGCAGCGGAATCCAGCGAAACAATGCTCCCGCTCTCCGCGACTGGGTTGACCAGAACACCATCGCTTTGCCCAGGCCGGACGAGAAATCATACTGGTTCAACAACAGATTTCGCGATACCAGATCCTGTAGAGATCATGTCGAATGAGTGAGAGCTAAATCCTGCGCAGTTCGATACGGCATGGCTATCAGATATCACCATTAGCATGTCACCACATCCCCAATCTATCCACTTACACACGCGGTGTGTGGGTGTGTGGGTGTGTGTGTGTGTGTGCCAGAAGCGAGCCTCTGCTCTCTCCAATAGTCGACGACGCAGATTTGTCTCAACTGACTCTGCGGGGTAAAACTTGGACTCTCCGAACTCTTGTCGTACCACCATCTTGAGACTCCCAAATCGCTCAACCACTCAGTCGTCTCCGTCAGCCACCCCTTCTCTCCCTTCCAAGATGGCTTACCTGATATCCTATCCAGCAAACAAGGCCAAGAAGATTCGTTCCACCGCATCAAGCTGTGCGGGCTTGCATCGGGAGCACGCATACGGACTGCAAGAGTCAAATGCAGCTCCTGCATCAACCATGCCTTCTCGTCACATTTTGACCGCCATCTGCAAATCCCATGGGATATGAAGTCATACGTGGGTAAAAGGCGACAAGGGCAGTCTATAATCTTGTGAGAGAGTCGTTCTCGCTGCGGTCAAATTTCCCCAGCAACGGACGGTGAGCCAGTCGTGCAGGTCATGTGCCTTGAAAGAAGCTCATCTGGTCACGTTGTCGTTATCGGCGGGGGCCCATTGGGCAGCAAGTACAGGGACGTTTGATTTGCGAGCGAGCTGAGGGCAAGGCGAGGCGGGCGAGGCTAGTCGTGATCAACGGGCAGCGCCGACGGTTACACGCCATGTGGAGGAGGAGGATCGCGAAGGGCTAACGGCCTGAGTTGAAAGCTTTTGACAGGACCCATTGTGATGCGGGATAGTCCCATCGCACTATTCGTACCTACGCGAACAAAGGCTCGCCTATGAAGACGTGCGAGCAAAAGTTCGCCTCATCTTGAACGTCCCGTGAAGAGAGGCCGTCTTGAGAGGCCATTGGCCTCGTCGCCCCCGGCCGGAAAAGGAGTCTCAGTTTGATGGATTTCTCCGATGGAGGCCCGACGAGCAAAGCAAGTGGCTGCAATGGATTGGTGAGGGGCAATCGGTTTATGATGGTGGGGTATCTAGCCTCTGGCCACGAGCATTCGAGACTCGTCGAGATCGGAGGTTGCGGCGGTGGCTGTAGCGAGCCGCCGGGGGTGCAACGTTGGATAGAACTCAGAAGCCGGGGTTGAGGGCTTTCTTTTTTAGCCTTCCGCCGGTGGACGGTCAGCAAGCGAGTGGCCGGTTGTCTCTGGCTGCTTCCGCCTCCGGAAAGGCAGCAAGAAAGGAAGGAAACGGCGCGAGTGCTGCAAGAAGCGATGCAGGTCATTGTGTAGATTCTGATTTCCCCAGCCAAAGGGGTCCGGCGCCATCTTTGCGACAGCGCCGTTGACGGCATTGGCATGGCGGGATGGCACGGGATGGACGCGAAGTTCTGGTCCGGTCCACATGTCCATGGCATGCCATTCCCATTGAGGTGTCAAGATGCAAAGCCTGTGCGCCAGGTCGGTCTGGGGAAGGAGGACTTGATAAGATGAAGGATGGTGATGACGGGAGCGATAGTGACAGTGACAGACTGGCTGGCTAGTTGATGAGGATGGTGTGGTGTAGGGCGCCGCGGCGGCGGTGGTGGTTCCCTAGAGACTGAAAAGGGAGCCCTGCAGAGGGACTAGGTGATGGATGGCGGCGAGCGGGACGGCGGGTAAGCAGCTGTTGCTTGCTGCTTGCTGCGCGCTGGTTCTTCCGCTACGGAGTTGCTGCGAGGTCATCAAGAGTGTGTGTGCCGGGGAAGCTCATCCTGCCCGTGGGCCCTGGTCGAAGGGTGACATTGCAGAGGTGATGGACAGGGCCTGTAGATTTTGACTCGATGTCCAGAGTGGGGAAGCCGAGAGTGAAGGCGAGAGAGAGAGAAAGCAGCGAGTCGAGGGCGTACAGGAGGAAGATTGCGGGCAAGGACGAGGGGACGACAAGGAGGAGCAAAAGCGTGGCATCGGGGGTGGGTGTGTCGCTTCAAGGTGAGAAGAGGAAGAAGCGATTGAATGAGTGAGTGAGTGACGAGAGAAAAGGTCCGGTCCAGGGTGTGAGGTGAGTGAGCGAGCCGAGCTTAGCGTGGCAAGTGGTGGATGCGGCATACGGACCTTGTGCTTGACTGTGAAGTGATGTGTAGCTATGAACAGTGCACTCACAGCTGTGGCCGGCCCCCACTTAAAGGCAGATGTCAGGCGACGGCGACTGGCTGGCGGCGGCAGACGCTTGGAGGTTCTCGACAGGACGCGGGCGCTTAGAGCCCGTGGTGGCAGGACGGGGGTCACTGGTTAGGTGGTGTTCTGTCTTATTTTCAGCCAATGGCGTGTTAGCGCTTCCTTAAATAAAGTAGCACAATGTGAATTTAGGCCAATGGGAAGCTCCAGCGCCGCCTCGCAGCTTCGCATTCATGTCCGTCGGCTGCGCTATGCACGGGAGTTTTCCCGCATCCGCCCAATCAGCAGCGAGGGACGGGGGTAGCTTCGCGCCCATCCCGACCCTCCATCCTGGTCTTCTCCTCTGAGCTCCATCCGCATCAACTCTTTCCATTGCTCTGCTCTACTCCTCTCCTCTACCGCAGACTGCAGTATCTGTACTCGTTCCACAAAGTCAGTCCTCTGCATCTCTACCTGCCTCTCTCTCTTCAACCATCACCCCTTCTCTCATGCCGGCCGGCTCTTCCTGCTGTTCCTGCCCAGTCGGGTCTGGGTCTGGCTGCTGTGCTGCGTCGTGCCTGCGCCGTGTGTGTGCTGAGAGTGCGTCTGGAAGCATGGCATGGCTTCTTTCTCCTGCTGCTCCTACTTCTTCCGGCTTCACTGCAACTGCAGGTGCAAGTGCTTGCTGCTCGGTTGTGCGCCGTTGTCCACATGGATGTCGTCCGGCACACACACATCTTCACACCCCCCTTTTGGCCGGGGAACCAGGTCCTGGCCAAATTCCCTCTTCTCCTCACCACCTCTCACCTCTCAACGGCCGCGCAGTACGGATACGCACCCCAAGATATCCCGCCGGTGACGGTCTCGTTCGCCCAGCCCCGAAAAGGGCCCCCCTTTCGTTGCTCCCTCGTCTATCCTCGTCTAAGTATTCGTACGCCATGCCAGGCCATGCCATGCCATGGGGTCCATGGGGTCCATGGCTGGGCCCGTCGCCAGCTCGACCACCCGATCCACGCAACCACTGGGGCCACTGGGCGCTATTATTATATTCTTTTTCAACCTGACAGACACCCAGGTGAGTGCCTGGCCTGTCGACACTGCCGCTATCGCCGCCGGCTGCGAGTGCTGCCCGTCGAATCACACCAGAACCAGCTTGCATATGGGCAAGGGGGGTCAATACCTACCTACCTTACCTCCCTAGGGGATTGCTGTGTGTGCGTGCGTTGCGTTGCGTTGCGCTACAGTAGCAAGGTGCTGCTGGCTGTGTGATCCGACCTCAACCACCATGGGTCTCTCTCCTCCTCTTCCTCCCCTCTCCTCTGCCAACCCCGGTAACTATTTACCGCCCAACTCTACCAGGCCCCTGTTCATGGACGCACTAGACATACATAACTCGCGGTAGGCGCCCGTCGTGTACCGCATCCCCTCCTTCTTCTCTTTTGCGACCCGTGGCATACCATCCGAGCATATCCAGCTTTGCTTTGGTTTTGGTTTCCTTTCCTTTTTGTCTGCTGCTGGCTTCATTTGGCTTTCCTATCTTGATTCCCAAACTCGAGTCGTCCCAAGCGTGCGTCTCGACTATCTACAGGCTTCATCATCAAGAATATCTCTCCCCCTCCCCATAGACCAAAAGAGCTGCCGGCAACGGCGCTGTTTTACCCGCCTTCTCGGCCGGAAAAGCAAAACAAGCCCCCAGAGAGGCTGCACTGCGCTGTAAGCCGCAAGCCGGTTACAGCCAGCTCAAGCCTCATTGTCACCCCACTTTCCGCATTTGCGATCTCACTTACACACATATAAACAACAAAATGGTACGAACTTTCGCTGCAGGCTTTGGCTTCTGGTATCAATGATGCTGACTCTCCTGTCGCAGGAATATGTACACGAATACGCCAGGGGTGACCGTCACCTGCATCGCGAGATGCGCGAGAAGGTTCCCATGCGCGACACATTCTTTGGCCTGAAGAGCGAGCCTCAAAGGCCAAGTTCAGTAGCAACCGAGTTCATGGATATGGAATGGGACGATGAAGTGCTCAGCGAACTTGAAGACAACTCTCCGCGTATAAGTGTCAACTCGGTAAGTTCCCGCGCACGGCAACCATTACTTTGCAGTTGCTAATTTGCGCGCAGTCGAGTGGTCAACCCAGTATTACTACTCTTTCGTCTTACGATGAAATCCCAACACCGAGGTCAAGCCAGGGTCGGGTGGCGTACCCCGATATCCAGTCACTAAACAAGCCGATCGAGGGACCGTCGGGACCGCATCTGTTTCGCTCTTCTGCGGAGAGCTATTTCGACGAGGCCATCTTGACTCTGTCTCCTGTCACTCCAAAGACAGCACGACCATTTGACGACTTCAAATACACGAAGCTGCCGCCACCGCCGGTACCAAGACAACAAAATGGTCCTTTTCAATTTACCTATGAAGAGTTTCAGTCGAGAGAGCTTGTCTCGTGGACCCCTGAGATGGTGGCGCAGTCGATGCTTAATGCTGGCATTGAGCTCTCAGTCGCTGGCCGTTTCGTGGAAAACGACATCAACGGACCCATCCTCATCACTTTAAAGTTTGAGGATCTTAAGGAGTTGGACATCCCGTCATTTGGCATGAGGACAAGAGTGTGGAACCAAATCCAGCTTCTGCGCGACAGCAGGCCGAGCTCTCCTCGCGCTCCGACGCCCATTCAAGATGAACCGAGTCGCGAAGTCAAGAAGGAGGCCCGCGAGATCAGGACGGCAGAGCGTCAGACAGACGAGTGCAGCCTCAAGCCAAGAAAGAGCAGCAGGAGGAGGCAAAAGAAGGCGTCCCACGACGACATCATCACCCCCATGGAGTCTGTGTCGATTGTCGGCATCGAGCAAGTGGTTCCCAAGCCTCATCACTGCCCGAAAGGAGAGGACTGCTCCCGTTTCAAAAAACAGCAACGTCTCATCGCGGCGTTCAGAAAAGAGCATCCCTTCGTCGATATGGAGAAGGAGACGGTGGTCATCACTGGCAACCCCGGCAACCCAGAGACCGCCAGAGCTTTGACTCCCAAGGAGATTCTTCGACCCATCTCAGACTCGGGCCCGTCAGTCGTCGCATCTTCTGACGTCCTGGGTCCCGGCAACGCCACACCGTTGCAGTACCTGCAGGAGGCCACTCTGCGAAACGTCACCTCAAGGGATCCTCAGGATAACGTCCGTCAGTTCCTTGATTTCCAGAGACGCCAGAGCAACAGCGTCCCTCCTACTCCTCCCTTTGAGATGGGCGCTCCTGCTATGAAGCCTCAGCCTGATGGTCTTCGCAAGCTGCCGAAGCTGTCCATCCCGGGCAAGCAGGCTCCTGTCCGTCCCAGCAACCTCAGGGCATCCACGGTGCCGCCCGTCACTCAGCCAATCGACAGAGTGATGTCTCCTCAGCAGCAGCAACAAAGCTTTGTCCCGTATGTCATGGACCGAGCTGAAGCCATGTCGCCAGACTTGCAGAGCCCCGTCAACCCTTACCGTTTTGGTACGCCCTTCTCCGAGATGGACGTCCCCGTCACTGCCATCCCTATGGACCGTGTCGCTCGCGACATCTCCCAGTCCGTTCCCCCTGAGATGAACTACCGCGCAGGCACGCAGAAGCAGCAGCCCCTCGTCCGCACGCAGTCGCGCGCCTCTGCCCGCCGTCCCTCGTTCCCTGTCCTACCTGCCCTCGACGAGAACAATGCTACTCCTGTCGCTCGTACTTCTCCCAGGCACTCTTCTCCTCGTTCTCCCCGTTCATCCACCCGCACTCAGCCTCTTCAAGCTCCTCCCCGCGTCAACTACCCCTGGTCGCCCGTTGAGCGTACCCACCCCTTTGAGCAAGCCATCCCGCCCATCTCTCACCTTGCGGGCGCCATTCCTGTCAAGCAAGCCGTCGAGGAGGCTCAACGTGACGGTGTCACCTTCCAGGGTCCCATGAAGAAGCGCAAGACAAAGATGCTTCGTCACGAATGGAACGATACCTTCTGCACCCTCAAGGGTACCCGTTTGGCCGTTCACAAGGACGAGCGCACCGTCGACCGCACTCTTGAGTACGTCGACATTGACGACTACGCCATTGCGTGCTCCAGCCTGGCTTCGCAGAGCAAGCTCTCCGCCGCCTTCCGCGCAGTACACTTCTCCTCTCACTCGCGCGAGAAGAGCGACCCCGTCGCTGCCTTCAGCTTCCAGCTTATCCCCCAAGACAAGAACGCCGCCAAGCTGCGTAAGCGCGAGAGCGCCCTGAACGGGTTCACCCACCACCACTCCAACTCGACCTCGTCTGTCCCTGCCGAGGGTGCCAACGGCACTGGTAAGACTCACCACTTCGCCGTCAAGAGCCGTGACGAGCGCATCGACTGGATGCGCGAGTTGATGCTTGCCAAGGCCATGAGACAGAAGGGTGATGGTTTCGAGGTCAGCGTCAACGGCAACATGATCTAAATCTTCCTCCTCTCTCGCACGACTAATTTCCTTTCCGCGATCTTTCAATCTCCTGGGAGGCGAAAGTCATACACAAAACAAAAATAAACCAAAAACACCCAAAACAAAATGATGATGGATAATGACCCGCGTTTGCATTTCTTATTTCACTTCAAAGAAAGCAAGCACGCACCCTGCCTCAGGACCCAAGTCTGCAGTGGCTCAAAAAGGATACCTTCTTGTTTACGCGTCTGCTTTTTTGTTTGCTTGTTTCTCTCTTTTTCATTGCGTTGCATAGTTCTGGATAGCGGCATTTGTTATATCCTTGCTCAGATTCTCCTCCCCCCTTTACCTGACGCCGGGTTGATGATGAATTTTTGACGAAACCAAAAATACGGGGGGGAGGGAAAGGATAGGAACGGGGATTTGGTTACTGGCTTAATCTTTTTCCTCTTTTCTACCAACCTTGACCTCATACTACCACATGACCTTTGCATACAACAAACATCACCACACACAAACACGCCCCTCAACACTCTCCGACGAAACGAAAAGACGCTCCTTGATTTTATATAAGTTTAGGGATGGCACCTATGATACCTAGCTAGCTTCTGTAGCTCGAAAATGAGAAAGAGATCCGTGAGGGGCTTCGTATGAGGCCTGGGTCTGGTTATGCATGACTTTTTGGTCTCAACTTGTGAAGTGGATTCATGTTGCGAAGTGACTAAAAGATCACGTGCCGAGTGGTACGTTGTAGGGATAAATCGAATGATTACATGTCGCCTTTGACCAACCTTCCCAGCTTAGAACTTCGGGGTCTATGTTGGAGACATAATGTTGAAGCTACATCGTTTGAGGCAGTCCTGCCTCCTTTGCACTTAGCAATCAACCTGAAAATAAGTATTAGAGAAACACGAAGACAACAAATGTAAACGGAGACTGGTATAAGTTAGGCCGTAAAGTTTCTCATTTCTTTTCTTGTTTTTGAAGAGAACAAGTTGTTGCCAGTAATCTCAAGGTAGTTGGGGTAAATGCTATACCCACAAGTGACGAGGTCGATTTTTTGTTCTCAATGGTATCACTCAAGAATGGATCATTCCAAGAGCTTAAATAATTGGCTAAAGTCAACGAGTTGCCAATAAAAGAAAGGCTGTGGCTGAAGTCGCGTATCCATCAAGAGTATTTCTATACTTAACGAGCTTTTGGCAGCATCTCGGTAATCGATAGACTGCCTAAGCGTCTATACTCTTGAGTCTGTAAATTCATACCACTTTGCAGATCTGCAGTGTCTTTCATGTGGGCTTTACTAGAAGTAGGAGGGAAATTATGCTTGTAGCCTGGTGTTTACACGTGAAGTGAGGGTTGGAGAAATTTGTATCCTGATGTCGGTAAATTCATACCACACTCCCTCTTTTACCAAATCATGTAACGTTCCTCATATCTACGGCATGTTATGTCTCTTCACATCACCTGAGGTTTTGATGATGTGCCAATGCTGCTGAGCGTCGCGCTTTAGGGTAGCAGAGTTCCAGACTCGACATAGCCGGGAAAACCATTACGCGAACGACATTTTAAGGAGTGGTACGCCGCTGATATCTTTGGTTTCCGTGGGCTGTAGTTTCTGCGACGCCCATCATGATGTACGTCGGTAGCTCCGTCAGGGTCAAGATTGAAGTCATCCGTCATTGGGATTGTGTCACAGGTGCAATGAATTTGGAAAAGCTCGGCCGGTAGGGAGTCAGAGCAGGGCTCCTTCTGTGAGTGATGATGACCGCCGTACAATCTGGGTCGAGCAGTACATGAAAGGGCCAGCAATTCTGCGGTCGAAATTTCCCCCAGACGCAGCATCAACGTCAACTAAACCACCTGAGACTGCATCAAGCCAAAGAGCGTGGTTGCAGCGGGTTGAGATATTTAGTAGTACAGCATAGTACATTTTGGCTTCATCTGTATATGCGGATGTCTATTCATACAATTCCTTTTTTGTTGTAATTCCTACATCACCACCACCGCCGCCACAGCGCATATCCAGGCGGGAGATCCGTATCACAGGATCTCAGCTTCATTCCTGACTGCCGTGGTTCACCCTCTCCCATGCAACAAAACGCCTTCATCGACTTCATGCCCTCATGGCAGGGCGGCTAGTGAGATGGGCCGCCTCATGCACGGCCTGCCAGTCGATAACCTCCCACCACGCCTCAGCAAACGCCTTCTTGCCGCCGATGCCGCCGACGCCGAGGCCGTAGTCTCGCAGCCACGTGTGCTCCCACGTGCTCAGGCACAGGACGGGGTGGGCCTCGAGGGCGCCGGGGGGCTTCGAGCCGGACGTCTGGGCCTTGACGACGTTGTCGAAGTAGGGCCTGGCGGTGCCGGTGTTGCCGACGGTGTTCATGTCGACGTTCTGGCCGCGCCAGTGGGCGCCCGGGTACGGGCTGCCGGCGAGGTAGGTGGTGAGGACCTTGAACTCGTCCTGGGAGTTCTTGACGAGCCAGACGAAGCCCGGGCCGAACATGGCGGAGGCCGTGAGGATCATCTCGCGGCGGAGGGTCTCGATCGAAGAGAAGGAGCGGAGGAGCGAATCGGCCAGCGGCTGTGGCATCGGTTTCGGGTCCGGGGTGAGGTGCTTGAAGAAGAAGTGCGTGTTGTGCGCCATGGAGGCGTGGTTGAAGATCGGGGCCTGGTCGGGGTCGCGGGCCGTGGCGAGGATGATCTGCTTCGGGTCGCGGGGCTCAAGGTCGGTTCCTGGGAGGGTGAACGTTAGCCCTCAGTCTTTCTCCAGGGTCCAATTGGCGTGTGGCATGTCATTCCCCGTTGGGAGCTCCGGGGCAGTGGTAGGTATATCGCAGGCTGGTACATGGCGAACGAGGCGAGGAGGAACAAGACGAACCTGCTGTCAGAGCATTGAGCTTGTCGATCATCAGCGTCATGTACTGCGTCCAAGCCATGTCGTAGCCGTCGGCGGAGAGCAGCCCCGGGACGCCCTCGTTGAAGTCGTGCCTCAGCTGGGGCACGTAGTGCACTGAGCGCTGCTGGCGCACCACTCGCGCGGCCACGCTCATGCGCGGTATCCTTAATGTTGAGCGGAACATGGCTGTGTGTGTGGTGGGTGGTGATGTTCCGCCGCGTTGGTTTCGACCCGTCACGACGTCTCTCCCAAGTCTGGTGCAAGTCGCTTTTTGGTGGTGAACTTTTTTTGGGCGGCTCGTGGTGGTGCGTGCCGCTGCAATTGGCGCTTGGTGGCCTTACGATTGAGGCGTGAACGGTGCGCGGTACATTTTGCCCACTTTAGGGGGGTAGTTCGGCCAATGGGGAAAGAGGGGCTGCTTGTTGGTGATGGCTTCATCAGGACTTACAAGCTACGTTCCACGTCCAACATCAACATCTTTGCATCTCATGTTGGTGACCATATTGAATTCGGCCCCCGGGAATGCGACCCAAGCTCTGGGTCGATTCCTACATCCTAAAGAATGACTTCCGTTTTGAGCAACCCGAACCACGATCATCAGCAGACCGGCAGTCTGCAGATTCAAGCTCAGGCCGTTATGCAACATGCCACCGGAACACTCTCATCTGTCGATCACCAACATGAATGCCATCGAAAACAGGAGATGGGAATAGCAACACCAACGGCGGCGGCACGTACGACTCTTGACCCTGGCCGCCTACTTAGCCGCCCATCTCTTTGAAGGGCGCTTAAAACCGTAAGGACGCATCGCACAACCCTGACCCTGGAGCACCGTGATCTTGACGCGGAGACGATCGCGTGGGCGGCTAATCTCAACCTTACTAGTGTGATCATGCGGGAGGTTCTGCCATTCCATGTTTGCCCAAAATTGGACGCGCTTATTCCAGTCGAGATCGGACGGCCCCGGCATGCGTCGCCTCATTTTACCCCTCTTGCTGGACCGATGAAGGGTGCCGAGGCTCGTACAGAGTTCACAACAGTTGGGACTGGCGCGATAGCGGGCTACCTGACAATCCCTCCTTCGACATGATCATTTCGAGTAGAACATCAATATTTGCCGTTGCCAAAGCACCCTCATTAAAATTCGCTGCCTCCTGATTTAATTCGCTCTACATTTCGTTCCCTCGACTCGGTCGCCCTCTCGAGATTAAGAAGCACACTGCACATGTCGAGTAGGTATTGGCTTAGCACTGAGACTAGATCTCCGTTCCTAGCTGCTTCGAATTGTTGAGCTCTCAGATGTTCAAGACCTTGAACATATCTGTCTCTTCGCTTTTGACACCACTCTTCACTTTCTTCCAATGATTAATCTGAATAGCTTTCGCTTTGAATTGTTGATATATGGCCAAGACTTAACGCCGATACACATGCAGCCGACCTATGCCAAATGATCATCCTGACCCAACGGATATCCCCACGGAACACCACCAAGCACAAGAACTCCTTATATACAAAAGGCCGTCAGCCTCAAAATCACTCCTCCTCATCCTCAATCATGCCGAGGACATCCAGCTCGGTCTTCACGAGCCGCTCAAACTCCTCCCTGTCAATGCCAGACGAGCGTGCCAGCAGGAAGAGGCTGCGAAGGCTTCTTGACACGTGCTGCTTTACGCCAAACTCATTCGCGCCTTGCTTCTCGGCGGTCTCCTCGAGCTTCTCGACCATGCGGCTTCCGTTGCTGCTGGCGCTTGAGGCCGGGCGGGGGTGGAGAAGTACGGCCGCCCGGTCCTCGTCTTGGCTGTGGATGGAGGGCGAACGCGGCGGCTCAGCCATCGTCCAAGAGCCGTTGGTTTCGGTGAGTCCTGCCTCCGAGATATCTTGGCTGACAACGGTACCCAGACCCAAAGGCGGTGCGACATCGAAGCCCTCGACCTCCTCATGGGGATCGTGAGCATCCATCGCCGGCTGCACAGAATCGTATTGCGCATAGTAGGCATCCTCTGCCGAGTCTGTACGGAACGCACCGAGCTGCGACGCTTGCGATGCGTGTGGTGCAGGCGAGCGCTTGACTGCTGGCGTTCGGTTGGCAGGCGTACGAGCAGGCGTCGCGTCATATCGGTCCCAGTAGCCGTCATCCTCATCCTCGTCGGCCTCGGCAGCGTCAAAGCTTGCAGCCGGGGTTTTGGAGCTGCTCGTCTTCGATGCCTTGTCGTCTGCATGGGCCTTCTCAGCCTCCGCGATGGTCGAGTAGCCACCAAAGTCGCCGAACGGAGCATTCTTGTCGACGACGCTAACCTCGCCGACTCTCCAACCGTCACCGCCGCCGTCCTTGTCGCCGACGCAGTAGATGAGACGAAACGACAGTTCGAGCTCCTCGAGTACAACGAGCGCCTGCAACGTCTCCAAGTCGAGTCGCCTGTATCGCGTCTTCGCATCGTACTCCCAGTCCACCTCGACCTCGCCTGATACAGGATGGGGTTCTAGTCTACCGCTCTGGACAATCTCGCTCAGTCTTGATGCCTTGTCTGTGTCGTAGGCAAGCAGGCGAATCCAGGGTTCAGTGCTAGACTCTGAGAGGAGCTGAACTCTTTGCCTCAGGATTGGGCTAAGCAGCGGCAAGACGCCGATGGCCGGCTGTGTGGAGATAGAGGCAGGAGGCAAGGCGGGCAAGATGGGAGCCAGCAGGCCGCCGATGTTGGGCATAGGCGGTGATGTTGTCGTCGCCATTGTGGTTGTGATGTTGGAGGTAAAGATTGGTAGTTTGGGATTCCTCGCCAACACTCCTCGCGGGGGATACGTGGAGTATTATATGGGAGGCAAGGGGCGGTGGCCAAGTCACAGAGACGGCGGTAGTAGTAGTAGTTGTAGTAGTAGTAGTGCGGATGGCCAGGTGTACGGTAAGGTAAGGTAGGTAACGATATCACATGCAGCCACTGCTGGGGGTAGATGGATGTCTTGCTGGTCAGCCTGACTCTGAAATCTCTGCCTTGGCGTATCGAAGTTGGGTGAGTAGTAAAGTAAGTATTGAGAGAGCAAAGAGATAGGATCGTGACGACACAAGGGGAAGTCGCATCTATGATAAAGAAAATGGAAAAGAGGAGAGGAAGGCGGGCAGAAAGCCTAACTCGGTCGAGTCGACGGGGCTGTTACGCAGGCGGAACGGCAGTCGGCGGTGCTATGGGCGAGCTTGAGGTGCAGTGTCCAGTTGCAGTGTAGTGTCTAGTGTCGTGTCGTAGGCTCCGTGTGGCTCCTGCCCCATCCAGGGCTGGTCTGGGTGACTGGGTTTTCCCGCTGGTCGCGCATCGAGTTCAGCGTTCGGTCGGGGGGCTGCTCCCCACACTGAGGGGGGCGAGGGGCGGCCGGGACGCCAAGACAGGCGGTTCCAGCCAATGCGGAGGCACCTCAAAGGCAATTGCGACTCCGCCTAGGGGAGTCGTCTCGGACGGAGGGAACCACTAGCGATGAGCCAATGACCTTGCCGCATCTTGCTTAGGAACAGGCCGCTCGAGAGCAGAGACACTGACGAGCCAACTTTGGCACGTGTTACTGGAGCCCCCAGAATCCGGGTGAAGCTGCCCACTTGCCTCGACCTGCCCTTTTTTAGGTCGTCTTCCATTCGTCTCGACTTCGCTGGTTTCTTACCCCGACGACAGGGAAGTACATTGTGGCCATGCTGGACCTCGAGAGTACCCTCCATGCCCATCTGTTGCCGTCCCTCGTTGCCGTACACCGAGTCTTTCGCTGCGAATTCAAGGTACCTTGCTGCCTACACTACTCGAGTGCCCCTCGAAACAGCCAGTTGCCGGGCATTGATGAGACAAAGACATTTGTCAGGACGCTTCCATGGTAGATTCACATTACGATACTTTTTCCAAACATTCGAACATGTCTTGGTGATTGTCTACCTACCGACATCGTCTTTCCTTCCGAGTCCTGATAAGGTCGTTTCTTCTCGGCAACTCCTCCTGACTGAGGCGTTCCCCTCTCATCTCTTTCAGATGCTAATCCAGATGGGTAGGTTGCCAACCAGTGTCGTCAGAGCTGCCAGTGGTCACAAGACGCAAGCAGTCACGAGAACATGGACAAGCACGCAGCCTCGTGGTTTTGATGAGATCAAAAAATTCCTCCCAATTCTTGCACGTCTCGCAACGAGTCCCGTGAGATGGCAACCCGCTCTCGTCGACCATCAGTCCAAATAAGACTTGCATTTGCATCTTGCATCCGCTCTCTCTCTCTACGTCTTTGATCTCCTTCGCCTGGCCCGCACGGGTGAAAGGGACCAGACCCTGCGTGGCTATGCCCACTAAATTTGCATGGAGAAGGCGGGTGCCCCTGCTACAGTGACGCCCGCAGTGGGGTTCCAGCGCGCTATCTCTCCCAAGATGCAGTGGTGAATCTCCCTGACAGCGCGCTACCATCAGCATTGCGTCACAATGCTTGGGGGGTCCTGGGCGTGGGTGGACGGGAGCTAGGTATCTCACCCAAGATGTCCATCTTAGGTAACCTGAAAATTTCCCACGCGAGCGACGAACAGACGTCCAACGGAATTGAGATTAGCCAAAAAGAACCAACATCGAAACGAACAGCGGACAGACCCTCGACATTCGGTTTCTAGCCATCACCGGGACGATCCTCAAACAAGTTTCTACTCAATTGAGACCCCTCAGCCTCACTCGCTGGAGCCGCCATCTGGTTGTTTCGACTTGCCGAGCAGTGCCACGCCGATAGAACTGCGGGAAGACGCCCCGTCGTTGAGATCTCGGACCGCGCCGCTTGGACGAACTCCCAGAGACACGCGACTCATCTGACCCTGATAAACCTCGTCCTACGGTCCCGAAATCAAGTCGCGCATCTCCGACGACGACCACTACGAGCTGCCCTGCCAGTCTCGTCCTCCCTTCACACGCCTTCTACGCAGGTCCCCACGAGGACACAGCCGGATGCATGTCGCCCAGCGGCGAACGCCTCAAAGATGAGGTAAGGCGACACTGCCCCCACGAACGGCCTCTCCGATTTCGCTGCCGTCATGTCTGCATGTGCTGTCGAAACGTCACGATGCTTACACACTGTCCGCCCAGGGCTCCCGCCTGCAGGTTGTAACGGCCGGCGCCACCGCCGGTCTGTTTGCTCGGTATGCCATCCATCACCTGCCAGATGGGAAGTCAAAAACTTGTGACCCAACGCTGACTTGAATGGGAAAGCTTTGTAATCGCTCCCCTTGATGTCGTCAAGATCCGCCTCCAGCTGCAGTCACACTCGCTCTCCGACCCTCTGTCGATCCAGACCGCCAGGGGCGGGCCCGTGTACAAGGGCACTCTGAATACCATGAAGCTGATCATCGCGAATGAGGGAGTCACAGGCCTGTGGAAGGGCAACGTACCAGCAGAACTGATGTACGTCTGCTACTCGGCAGTCCAGTTTACGACCTACCGCACGACGGCCCAATTGCTCCAGAGTATCTCCGATAACCGACTCCCCAACGCCGCCCAGTCCTTCATCGCCGGAGCTACCGCCGGAGCTGCCGCTACGACGGCCACATATCCGCTCGACCTACTGCGGACTCGCTTTGCCGCGCAGGGGAACGAACGGGTGTATACTGGCCTTCGACACGCCGTCACCGACATCTACCGAGACGAAGGACCCCGCGGCTTCTTCCGAGGGCTCGGGCCCGGTGTGGCGCAGATCGTACCGTACATGGGCATATTCTTTGCATTGTATGAAGGTCTGCGCTTGCCGCTAGGTGACTTGCATCTACCATGGGGCGGTGGCGACGCCACGGCTGGTGTTATGGCCAGCGTCATGTCCAAGACAGCCGTTTTCCCCCTTGATCTGGTGCGGAAACGTATCCAGGTGCAAGGCCCCACGCGATCGCGATACGTGCACAAGAACATTCCCGAGTATCCCGGGGCGGTGCGTGCCATGCGAATGATCTTTGCGAGTGAAGGCATACGGGGACTGTACCGCGGTTTGACGGTCAGTCTTATCAAGGCCGCTCCAGGAAGTGCGGTTACGGTGTGGACTTACGAGAGGGTCCTGAGAGTGTTGATGAGATTAGAGAACTCTGATGAGAAGCGATTTTGACTTGGGGAAATGGAATATAGAAGGGCATATGATACCCCATTATAGAACACAGGATTGGGCTTCGTTGAAAAGCGGCGGCTCTGTTTGAGCAGAGGAGTAACGGAAACCACGAAGTTTTCAAAATAGAGTCATATCTAGACCTAATACATATCCAGTTGGGTTCATGTTAACGGAGTAGGAAAACTTGGGCGTGAAGCAACTTGCGCTGCTGAGATTGATGCTCAGCGGGAGCCGGAGTTGTTTTTTACCCTCACAATCTTCTCGTCGCACCGTGAGTGAGAGGTCTTGGCAAAGCGCTGAAACTTGCTGGTCTATCAATACTGAACGCAGACTCGCTAGACAATCGCGGCTTGACACGGCGTATGCAACCCAGACCTCGCACCAGCAGACAACTTTTTAGTTCTCCAGAGGACCATTCTCCTTCAACCCCGTCACCTCACCGGCATTGACCCGATCCGCCCGCTCCGTACACTCCTCAATGACCTTCCAGAACATGGGAATGTCGAGACCGCGGGGTATCCTGACGCCCTCGCTGCCCGGCTCCAGCAGCTTCGCGACCGTCCTGCCCAGCTGCGCCTTGCCCTCCTTCGCATCCTCAAGAGATCCCTCCGTGATGACGGTCAGGTCGAAGCGCTCGTGGTACTTGACGCAGTTGCCCTTCTTGGTGTCGAAGTCGTAGAAGGGGATCTCGTGCTTGGTGCCCGTGAGGACGGCGGCCACGGCAAGGGGGTCGTGGAGGGGCGGGCCGGCGGTGATGCCGAAGACGTCGCTGTACCGCCAGTCAGTTTTTCATACACACGCACACACAAGCATATCATCACACATACCTATACGTCTTGGCAAAGAACATAAGAAGCTCGACCAGCATCTGCCGCAGCGTGGTCTTGCCCTTACCCGTCTTCTCGCCGGCGGCGTCCTTCCCGTACAGCAGCAGCTCCCTCACCTCCTCCGTGGCGAGGACCTGGTGCGACAGGTCGAGGGGCACGAGGGTCGTCTTGGCCGCGAGGGCCTTGTTGTGGAACACAGCGGCGGCGGCCTCCGGGTCGATGATGATGTTGAACTCGGCCCAGGGCGTCCAGTTGCCGACGCGCGCGACGCCGTCGACCTTGCCCATGACGATGTCCGTGAAGCCGTCGCCGATGGCGCCGCCCATGATGCTTAGCCCCCTGATGTGGGCGACGAGGTCCGGGTACTTTGCGAAGAGCTGCGCGACGTTGGTCAGGGAGCCTGTGGCAACGAGCCAGGCGGTGCCGGGCGCCTGGGCGGAGAGGGCGGCGGCCATGGCGTCGATGGCCGGGGTGGTGCGGTCGGCAGCCTTCAGGGGCTGCGGGAGGAGGTCGGTGCCGTCGAGGCCGGATTCGCCGTGTATGTCGGTGGCGGCTTGCATGGGCGGCCGGGCCATGGGCTTGGCGGCGCCGACGTAGACGGGGATGTCATTGTGCTTGCCGATCGCCGTGAGGATGGACGAAGCGTTGGCGGTTGTCTTTCTGGGATGTTGTTAGTATGAAGTATTCATGCGTACGAGGGGGTTCATCGTGTGTATGGCTTACTCTAGGGGGGCGTTGCCGAAGACGGTTGAAAGGCCCAGTAGCTTGATTGTGGGGTGGTAGGCGGCGAGGAGGATGGCGAATGTGTCCTGGTGAGGTTCGGTCAGCGTGAGTTTGGTTTCCGTACAGGCCGATAGTGGCTAAGTGCAGTGTCGTGCATGACTTTTGTTTTGCATGCGGCGTGTGAGTAAGAGACTCATGAGGCATGCAGGTTCATCATGGCCCCCTCACACCACACAACAAGATGACGGCGGCAACTCACATCGTGGCCCGGGTCGCAGTCCAGCCAGACTGGGACTGTGGGTTCCGTCAATTTGAGGTCAACCATGGTAGCTCAAAAAACTGTATTATCCAAAATTGAGGGATATGGAATTCCACGGAATCGCTGAGGATGTCGGACAGAGATGAGGGCGGCGGACAGCCAGGTATGCGAGGGTTGGCCGCCGCGGCAGGTAAACAGCCACGGACTGGTCGCCGTGCGCTTCGTTGGAAGCGTTCCCACTCACAGTGGATAACACCAACCAAACGGGCACGGGGGCCCCTCCTCTGGGGCTTTCGATACGGGGGCGGGGGAGCCGTTGGCCTAAGAAAACAGACGGAGACAGGCGGAGGATGGGTGGATGGGCACCTGGGCGGGTGCCCAAACGGGGAGAAAAAAAGATTGGGCCAATCCCATCACATGATAATCATGTCTGCGGTGTTTTATTTTGATTCTGATTAGACGAAACCCTATGAACGGTCTCTCCTGTCACCTTCACTGGTGCCTACGCCCTACAGACACACGGAGTGCCGAGATCTTGGGGCGGTGGACCCCACGGGCGATTACCTCAGAGAAACACTGCGAGACGAAGCTTCAAGCGGAGGTGCGCGGCTGTTGATAATGAGGCGGTGTCCTCCGAGCACTCGACATGCGCCCGTTTCGGAAGGTCCAGCAGACCCAGCACCACCACCGAAAACACTTCCGTGTTTGCCGGGTCTCGCAGCAGGTCATCTGCTGCTGAGTCATCGAACTCTGATATCTCCAACGTCATTTTTCCCTCTGAAGCTAGGTTAGGTCCATGTTGCCTCTATGCAGCACGCCTGAGGCAGTGATAAGGCATGCGATATGTATGTCGTCCAGGCGGCGTTGAGAGGCCAAGACGAGACAATCAAGAGGGCGTGACTATGACGATGATACTGTTGGTCGCCTTGCAAGTGTAGCCATCACTTACTTGAAGTTACGGCTTTACTCACTATGCTGCCTCCGCTATTCAGGACTTCTCCGCCGCCTTCCGCTGTTCCATGACCCTCAACACATCTGCTGCGTTGTTACCGTCGCCCTTTCTCTTCTTGGGACCTCTCTTTCTCTTCGTCTTGCCACCGTGTCCACCCTCGTCGTCATCGTCGTTGCCCCATTGAGACAACTTAATTGGTTGGTCGTCAAAGTCGGCCTCATCCTCAAATCTGCTGGTGCCAAAGCCCATGTCCAGATCTTCGGCATCACGGTCGACCGACTCCAGCATCTTCCTGCGACGTGCCGCGCGGGCCTTGGCCTCTTCGTCGTCTTCATCCTCATCATTATTCTCTTCCTTGTTTGCTGCTCTGAGCTGTGCGGCCCTCTTGAACGCTGCCATGATTGCAGGGTCTTCCATAGAGGGTGCCTTGATGGATTGTGATGAAATAAGCTCCGTCTTGGAGTCCTTGAAGTAATTGCGCGGGGCGGCTGGCTTGGGAGGTGGTGCCATTGATGTCGAGTCGGATTTGGGTTCTGCCTTGGCGTCCTCCTTCGCCTCCTTGTCCTTTACCTCGCCTTCGTCGTCCTCACCCGAATCGCTGTCCATGCCAGCAAGCGGATCGTAGTCGTCTCCCGCGTCGGCGAAAATGTCATCGTTGTCATCTTCCTCGGCTTCCTGCTGCTGCTGCTTCTTGTAGAATTCAGGAACCTCCATGCCAAGCGGCTTCGCGTCCTTATCCGGAATGAACTCCTTCCTCTGCTCTTCTTCTACCCCTGGTTGTACTTTTCGGACCTTTCTCTTCTCGTGACCGTCTTCGTCGACGATGATAAGAACCTCGCGGCCCTTGCTGTCTCGCTCAATGCGAGTTCCGGGCTTTTGCTTCGCTCCAATCTTCCTGAATTTGTCGCCCAGATTGTCTTGCGCTGCCTTTGCAGCCGCTCTTGCAGCCTTCATCTCCGCCAAAATCTGGTCTCGTGTTCTCTTTTTCCCAGGTGCAAGCGCTATAGATGCCATCTGGCCCTTCTTCTTGACCGTTTCCTTTTCGATAGCTTGCACCTCTGACTCCTCCAATTCGTCGAATGCTTCATCAATGTCCTCTTCGGGGGGCGCCTCCTCCTTCTCTTCTTTGTCTTTTTCGTCGTTCCAAACGTCTTCACCTCTTCGTATCCTCGCCAGGAGCTTGAAGTCCAACCCCTTTACCAGATGCGTGCTGGAGATGTCGCCTCCTGCAATCTCGTTGCGGAGCTTCTCAAACGTCTCCTTGCCAATCTCCTCGTTCTTGAGTGACTCCTCCAACGCCTTTATCCTTTTCGCACGATCGTCTTCCTCTTCATCGTACCGCTCTTTCGATCGGTCCACGTAGCCTTCGGCGAGTCGGGATCCTTTGGGCGCTGACGATCGGAACTTCTTCTGGGGCTGAGCTGCTTGATTTCTAGCAGCAAGTTGTCGCGCAAACTCGTTTCTAGGGTTCATGCCACCAACAGACCGGCTGCAACACGCGAGTTAGTCAGATACTTGAAGTGATGCATGTCAAGGAAGCTTACGGCGTCATTGGGATGCTTGACCGTTGTCGCGATCCCAGAGCACCAGCGCCAGATGGCGTGGCGATGCCTGGAGTGGCTCCATTACTGGGTGATGATGACTTGGTTGAGTTCGCGCCTAGCAGCTTCCGAAACTGTTCGTTGTTCATGGTCGCGGTTCCTCGACGGTTGTTGGGTCCGGCAGGTTGTCGCAAACAAGCGAAACAACGAGCTCTTGTAAGTCAAAGTGCTTAACGCCGAAAAAAAGGTTCCCGTACTTTGGGCGGGTACAGATTAGTCATGCAACTTGACAGACAGGGGCCGTGCACTTACACGCGTGAAGGCCCCATTCCACTTTACGCGGTCATCCGCGTCGCAGGCATCTACGCCGCCGGTGCTCCGTCAAGAGCATCTCATCGCCAACTCACTTGTGCGCCCCAGTCTCGATCCCCGTATCACACGGGCGCTAGCTATCCTTACTCTTCGATGAAGATGTTTGATATCATGCGCTCGATAATTTGGACAGGATTTCGTGTGAGGGATTCATCGCAACGCTAGCATTTGGGTCATCGGCCGTGATCCCAGACATCCGCCATCTATACGAAAGCACCGTGACCACCGAACAAGATGGGGAGCCGTCTCGAGAAAAACTCCTCTCAAGTGAGGAAAAGAATCGAAAGTCATGAATTTACCGACGAAGGAGGCGAGGAGTATGAGCCAAGCGCCTTTGGCGGCTTTGGCGATTACTTCAGAAGAAAGAAGATCAAGCTACAGAATCTGGATGCCGACATGAGAGCCTCTTCAAGCGATAAACCTCAAATCTTCAAGGGTGTCGTTGCGCATGTTACGGGCTATACGCAGCCTCCCCTTCACATGTAAGTCCCAAGGATGAGACGCGACTGCCGGCGGCTGACCGTGATTTTGTAGCCTTCATCGAGAGCTTGTTCAGCATGGCGCAGGCTTCCTGCAGTACTTGGACGCGAAGACCATGGCCACTCACATCATCGCATCCTCTGTGCCGCCCAAAAAGTCTGTGGACTACAGCAGATACCGACTGGTGAAGCCCGCCTGGGTCACTGATTCTATTCGAGCCGGGCGACTTCTGCCTTGGTCCGATTACCGAGTGGACAACGACGGTCCTCGTCAGAAAGTTCTGAAGTTTGATGAATCCAACAAGCTCAGTCAGGCAACACCTCAGTCCAGGAAGGGATACAGGGAGCAGACGGACAACAGCTTCTACACAAGTCAATTCAAAGCATCTGCTGCCAGTCCTGCCACCCCCTCACTGAGTCGATTTGTTGAGCGCGCCGAATCGCCGCTTGCCCGCAAGCATGCTCGCAGTTCTGACAGCCCTGGAACCATCCCTTTCCCCTCGGCTCAGAAGGTTAAGCTGAAGGAAGAAGTGGAAGAGTTTGATGACATGGAAATCGACGAATTGATGGTCGATATTCTTCCCGAGGGCCCAGCACCCAAGTCCGAGCTGTCAAAACCCGAGAAGCACAATACCAAGCAGCCGCATGTTGCTAGGGACCAGAAACTTAACGAGCAGCCCAAAGCTGTTGGGGAACCCAAGATTAAGCAGCCCAGCCCCGAAGCTCCCAAGATCGACGATGGGAGAGACACGATCACACCTGCGCTGATCGAGGAGGAGATGAAACGAAATTCCAAAATGCCTGAGAACATGACTTCCGAAGAACATAATGCCTGGCTTCTCTCAGACCCGAAAATGTGGAAGTCTTCAACGGCGAACCCGGACTTTTTGAAGCAGTTCTACTCCGAGAGCCGGCTCCATCATCTTTCGACCTGGAAGGCCGAATTGAAATCAAAGATGCAGAAGCTTGCCAAGGAAAAGGGCACCTCAACCATAAAGAGGAAGGCCGGATCTCGACGGTACATCATGCACGTCGACTTTGACAGCTTCTTCTGCGCCGTTTCCTTGAAGCGCAACCCGGAGTACGTCGACAAGCCGACCGTGGTCGCTCATAGCAGTGGATCTGCCTCAGAAATTGCAAGTTGCAACTACGTGGCGCGTAAGTTCGGTGTAAAGAATGGCATGTGGATGAAGCGGGCTCTGGATTTGTGTCCAGACATCAAGGTTCTGCCATATGATTTCCCTGCCTATGAAGAAGCCAGCCGTCACTTCTACGAAGCCATTCTCGACATTGGCGGAGTCGTTCAAAGCGTCAGTATTGACGAAGCACTTGTTGATATCACGTCCATCGTCCTCTCCAGCGTTGGTTCAGAAGGTGCCGGTGTGGACGAGGGTAGTATCTGGAGGGAGCAAGACAAGGCGGAGCAAATTGCTCTCGATCTGCGCAACAAGATCAAAGCATCTACTGGATGTGCTGTCTCGGTCGGCATTGGAGGAAATATCCTACAAGCAAAGGTCGCCCTGCGCCGAGCAAAACCCGCCGGGCAATTCCTAATGAAGCCTGAGGAAATGCTCGAGATTATCGGAGAGATCGAAGCGAAGGACCTTCCCGGTGTTGCATACAGTCTTGGCGGCAAACTCGAGGAGATCGGAGTCAAGTACGTCAAAGACATCCGAAACGTGTCAAAGGAGCGTCTGTCTTCCTCTTTGGGACCCAAGACCGGCGAAAGGCTGTGGGAGTATGCCCGTGGCATCGACCGAGCTGAAGTTGGAGAACATCCCCCCAGAAAATCCGTTTCAGCGGAGGTCAACTGGGGCATCCGCTTCATCAATCAGCAGGAAGCTGAAGAATTCGTCCTGAATCTTTGCAAGGAGCTTGAGCGTCGACTGCTCAACGAGCAGGTCAAGGGAAAGCAGTTCACCATGAAGATCATGCGCCGGGCCCAAGATGCCCCCTTGGACCCGGCAAAGCATTTGGGACACGGCAAATGTGACAGCTTCAGCAAGAGTGTGATGTTTGGTGTCGCCACCCACAACGCGGAAACAATTGCGAAAGAAGCCGTTTCGGTCCTTCGATCTTACAGGTTCAGTCCTGGTGACCTTCGAGGTCTCGGTGTGCAGTTGACGAAACTCGAACCTATCAAGACTGGTCCAACTGGTCCTGAGAGCAGTCAACGCAGGCTTGCATTTCCAACCTTCAATAGCGCCAACTCGTCTAAAAAGGGTGCTGTTGATCCCATTGAGGATTCAAAGAGCCCCTCAAAGCCGAAGACAGCCCAGGCGCGGGGGAGTGTTGCACAAGATCCTATTGCAGACGATCCTTTGACACCAAGGAAACCCAAAGTGCATCCAGCACTGGCACTGGCGCGAGCTGGTGAGAGGGATGAGAAAGCAAACACACCACTGAACATCATGGGTACCCAGTTCATCCTGCCATCGCAAGTCGACCCAGCTGTGCTGGCTGAGCTGCCTAGCGATATCCGATCCAAGCTGCAGAGGGGCCAGAAGCCACCGCCTGCAGCTAGACCAGCATCGCCGAAAGCCAAGTCAAGGAGTCAGAGCCCTGCGATACCAAACGATATCCCATCTCAGGTTGACCCAGAGGTGTTCAATGCCCTGCCAGAGGATATGAAGGCGGAGGTTCTCGCACAGTACGGACGGAAGAGCGCGCAAACCCGGTTACCACAATCACCGCGCAAAGACAGGATAATCCAGCCAAAGAAAGCCATCACCCCAACAAAGAGAGGGAGAAACCTGTTCAATAATGCAAGGGAAAGACAACAGGATGCCGCAGCAAACCGTCTGCAAACAAGTTTCCTGCCGAGCAAGGGGGCTGCCCCCGCAGCGCAGAACGATGAGCCAGAGGAACTGGACCCGGAGTTTCTGGCCGAGTTGCCGGAAGACGTTCGCCGGGAAGTCATCGAAGACCACCGGAGAAAACGCCTCGCCCAGAAATCCGGTCTCAACTTCAACGCGCCCCGGAAGCACCTCCCAGCCGAGGCCAGCGACTTCTTACCCGGCGGACAGACCAAGCTTCAATTCCCTGCACCGCCGCCAAAGGTCAATTTCATGGGATCTGCGGTGAAGTCGGTGCAGGAGATCAAGGACATGATCGAGGCCTGGCACGACGGGACTCGGGCGGAGGGTCCACACCAGGAGGATGTCGTCATGTTTGAGAAGTATCTGGCCAAGGTCGTGGCTGAGGAGCGCGACATGCACAAGGCATCGAAATTGGTTCAGTGGCTCGAGTGGTTGGTGGAGGAGGACGGCAGGGAAGGGCGAGGGAAGCGGGCTTGGAGGAGGACGGTCTTGGATAACAAGGCGGCGGTCCAAAAGGCCGTAGAGCGGAGGGGCTTGGGGCCCCTCAAGCTATGAAGTTGTATGATTCACGATTGATGCCAGGATACCATTGGGTGGCGTTTGGGAGGCACAAACTGTAAAGATTTTATCGTTCAAGTGTCATCGTTATTCTATTCACGGCTGCTTGAGAAAGATTAAAGACCATTGCCGTCCAAACTTAGGGGTATCTCCTAAGAAGTTTTTCCAAAAATCAGACGCGCTTAGCAAAATCCAGTCAAACTCTTAAATAGACATAACCGCCAGTGTGCCAGCAAGCACCAAGCCCCAGGCCGTCGCCGCAACCCGAGCGCTGTCGCTCTGCATCATGTAGACACTCAACTTCAACGCGCCTCCACAAGCGACGTCACGGTTTCCGTCGCAAGGGGTATTGCACGCCGTATCATCGAGCTTCGTCGCCAGACTGGAGAGCCTCTGGGAGCACCAGCATTCGCTGCGACACATTCACAGGTCAGCAATGCGCGCTCGAAGGCCTGGGATGACTCCTTATTTGGGGAACGGGTGTCGCAGACTCACCGAGAATACTCAACACCGGCGTATTTGTACTGGGTGTCGGTTCCGCTGTTGCAGAAGCTGAGACATATCGGTACTGTCATGTTGCCGTCGACGGGGTATGTCTTGCTCGCGCCATCGGCGAGGGCGCGCACCTTGGCCGTGTCCGCCAGGTCGACGGTCTCGTTGAAGCAGCCCTGGTACTTGTACTTGTCGGAGTCCTGGTAGATTGATAGGGACTGCGCGGATGCCAGCGGGGAGAGCAGGGCGAGGAGGATGAAGGAGGCGATGAGCTGGATAAGCATGTTGCGAGCCATTTTGAGTTCGGAAGCAAGTCTGTCGACGAGAGACACAAGTTTGAGATGCAATGACTGGCGGGTAAGTCGGCGTTCAAGACTCGGGATCGCAGCTCGAAGTGTCGCCCAATCGCGAAGATAAAGATCGTGAGATTGGGTACGGAAGCCTCGCTGGCGTAATCGGGAGTCGCAATGTTGCTGACGGCGGACGATTTAAGGGATCAGGCTGGAATCTCACGGCAAGCACGGCGCGTTCTCATAACGGGAGCATATCGTTGGCAGAAGTCGGGCAGCTTCAGGAGAAGAGAGGGAGGGAACAAGCTGAGGCTAGACGGGAGGTGAGAAGAAGCTGAGGTCGCAGCTCGCCTCAGCTACCTTAGCAAAGCCGCCGGCCGGCCCATTGGAGTAATAATAATTTTTCTTTGCGTCGGACACAGCGGCCGGCCAGCAAAGCAGAGACGCCAAAAGGAGATTATGCACCCGACCACTGCGCCGCGATGGCGCGCCTGAGGTGGTTTAGCCATGCGCACCAGGCCCTTCGGGCGTCTTGATAAACGAGAGGAACGGGCCTAGCGGGATGCACGCCTGTGAGCCCGCTGTAGGCCTGCCGCTGGCGTCTCAGGGACTAGGCCTGTTGGAGCCCGTCGAGACCCCACCACAGCTGAGATGTGGCAGCGGTCTAGGCCCAAACAGGATGAGGAAGGAGGGAACTCGCCGGGCGGTCTGTGTGCCCCGGTAGTGTTCCTGGGGGGTCTTTAGGTTCTGCTGGGAACATCGCAGCGAGGTGCAAATCTTGATTGGAACAACCACCCATTCTTGGCTGCGACAGCACGTTTCTTTTCACCACGCCGCTGTGATCTGCGTGTTGTACAATAACGTTCCACGGAACGGTTGACTCGACCCTGCGTCTGCGACATGATGACTTGTATTTGTCTATCATTGTTTCCTCGGTCTGTGGCTGCAGGGGCAGCCTGCAGGCAAGCCAGCCAGCGGCCACGATGCCATGTTCTCGATTCCATTGCAAATTTCCCCGAACGATCTTCGTTGGTTCATCAAAAGATATTCACAGACTTCAACTCAGCACGTCTATGAGTTGCTTGTTGGTCTTTTCGTCTTTTTCAACTCGCAGACTGAGTCCCGTCTGGCAGCTTCATCGCGGCGGTTGCAGATGCCTCTCGGGATGGCATCACTTGCCGATCTCCCTTTTCCCATGCACTCCAAACCATTTCCAGAGCTTCCAACGATGTTTCTTCCTTTTTCCAAGCGGAAAACTTCGTGGTCTTCATGGTTTGGCCAACGAATTAGGTCTAGAGGGAAATGAAGCATAGCATTTGATTCTTCCGGCTCATCTTATTGTTACATTTTCTCCTTTTCTTCGTTCGTGGTCTCGTCGAATCTATCGTTTTCATAACTCGTTACTTGCAGGGTATCAGCGGCAATCCTTCTTACAGTTGACAAAGCCAGTCAACCACTTACCAGCATGCTTAGCTCCAATCCGCCGTACACCCTTGCTTTCAGGGACACCTCAACATTGAGATTTAATCCCAAATGCACCGCAAAGCTTCGACTCTCCCTAACCGTTGGTCCCTTGGGCTCTTCTGGCTTGGGGGAATCGTGCCTCATCGGCGGTCGTCTTCGTTGCCTTCGCTTCCCTCGGCTCGCATCCTGTGCGGGCTCCCTTGAAGGAACATCTTTATCGGATTCGCTTTCTGAGCTTGATGGATCTGTCGGTTCGTCTGGTATATGCACGCTCGGGGGCGGGGAAACCTCATAGTCCATGCTGAGATCGATGCCGGAATCTCGATTACGATCATAGTTCTTCGATACGGGTTCCACTACCGGCTCACGGATGTCAATCTCTTCTTCCTCCTCCTTCATATGGATAAACGACGTTTGTTCCAGTGGTAATGAGTCGTCGAAGGGCATGGGGCACCAGATGAAATGTTCTGGGTCGGCGAATCTCTCGACGGAACTGTACAGCTCTTTTGGGAGCCATACGATGCTATCTCTCGACGTCATCTTCGTTGCTTGTAGCGAGTGTATGTTGAGCGAGTGTAAGTGGATAAAATATGGTACAAAAAAGATGTTCAAGAAAGCGAGAGATGATGGAACATGGCGGTGGTCTTCTTCCCAAACACGGGGTGGAGAGCCTTTCCATCATAAAGGAGAGCCCAAGGGGCTCAAGGAGGCCACACTCATTTTATCAGCATCTGACGACCATCAACAAAAATCTTGGCACACAAGCAGGATTGAGGCTCACCTCCCAGAACGCTCAATGAAATCATGTATGGGGTCGGGTTGCACTGGTTGGCTCCGCGGCTCCGTGCTGTGAGCAGGACTTGGCCAGGCCCTGGCCGAGATCTGCAGGCCGATCGCTGTGGGGCCCAACGGGCGAGAACCCGGATTTGGGTCCTCCGCTCCTGGAGTTGCAACCTGCACGCCACCGACGACATTCCACCACGTTTTGCCCTGGGCTGTTTTGTGGTCCGTCGTGATTGGATTTGGGAGAGATGATTGAATATCATCGACTTGTTTCCATTTTTAGGACTTTTCAGGGTCCTTGAGCTCAGTCCACTTGGGAGGTGTTAGTGCGCCATCGCCCTAGATTCTGAGAAGAGTCCCCCTGAGATGCAGAGCTAGGCCATGAGAATCGCGATCGACTTCTCCAGACTTTGCGACACCACCAAGGCTTTCTGCATGCACTCTACCACACCCATTGACTGGGGTGGGTGGATTGTTTCTGGCGACCTTCATGTTCTGCTACGATATCTGAATTATGTTGGCTTGGTCTACTCCCAGGAAGAGGACGAATCGTCCCACATATGAACTATCAGAGCACCTAGAACATATTCAGCCAGGCCATGGAGCCGTCAATCATGGCTAACGAATTAAAAAGAAAAAAAAACCAGAGTTCAGGTCTGGCGAACTACCATTTCTAAGCTAACCCCAACTCCTGCATCCAAACTGCACTGGCGGTCTCTAACAAGCATGAAAGGCCGTTGTACGTATGTATGACCCTTCAAACTTCATGTTGAATTCTGGACGCTTCCTTCGTAACATGAACCAGATCTGGACCCCCATCCGAGTCCCCAAATCTCACGTCCAGACCTCTCGCCTGGGTTGCGATCTGTTCCCCATCACGCGCTTCTCTCAACAGCGCTCTCGCCTCCACGTCGAGACCATGGGCCAGAGTTGCCAGAGAACTTCCCCGCCACGCCGGTAGCCCGAGTCCCCGAGTCTCGAAGATGGACATGAGACAAAAGATGCAGCCTCCCAGGAGCGATCCAATGGGCAGGATCAGAAAGGACCAGTTGACCCGGATCCGAACAACCCACTCTTTTCTCGCCCCGACGAAAGGTTCTGTCTGCAACGAGCGGTTGCGCATCCATTTTGTCAGACTGGCCGCCACGGTTTCAAATGTTTTTGTAAGGTTGGTAGAAGCACCTAATCTGTTGATGACGAACGGTTGTTCCGTTTCACCCGCTGTATTACCGGGAAGTTCAGTTGTTTGCTCCATTCTAAATCAGTTCGGGAGAACGCGCCTGAGATCCAGCGCAGGAGGCTCGTAGTTTTGAACGTGATACGGAACCGTAAGTCGTTGGTCACGCTAATTCCAGTTTTGGAAGAGAACTCCTCTTTAGGTAACACGAGGTAGAGGTCGGAACGTGGAAAGGGGGATAGCAGAGTGTAGTTAACATACTTATCGTAGACTTTCGACTTTTCGTCAGGTTGGTTGACGATGGCGTAAGAGTCCATGTCTCGGAACGTATATGAGCCCAAGATTGTTTCGTTCAGCCTGCCCTGCTCGATGGCGGATCGGTACACGTTAGTACAGAAATATAAGGCGCACTCCTCCGCGGTGACGGTACTGTCCTCCCAATTTTGTTCCCTGTTGCGGTAATTTTGGCTTGCTTTAAGCATGGAGATGGCTGTGATCAGAGTCTTGGAATCCTGGAACGCGATAGTTCGCCCAGGATTGTTTATTGCTCTCGCAGTCAAGTACGCGCTGTTTTTTCCCAGTCGGTGACTGCGCGTTGGTGTGCTTTTTCGTAGCGAGCCCGTTGAAATTCGATATTGACAAATTCTGACTCTTCAACTCATGCCGAGTATAGTCGAATGTCAGATTTACTATCTGCATGTTCGAATGATTGTCATGATAAACGGTGATGAGCGTGCCGTCAGTGACATCCGCAATGCCGCTGGACGTGGTGATGTGACTCGATACGTCTTTGCAGGAGCTGCAAGTGGCTATCGACGCATACGAAGGCCAAGTGCAGTTGCCTGTCGAACAGCGGAACTCTGGTTTGAGGTTTTCTGCCGTGTTGAGATCGGAGAAGCCCTCCCAGACAGCCGCAAGCGCACCGAAATCGTAATCCCACCGAAATGGAGCTCCGCCAATTTGTCCCCATGGCTCTGGCAGGGGCTCTACAAATACGGGACCCTCTGAAATCTCCGTGAACGTACCAGAATCCAGAGTTACGGTTTTTCCGATACTGGTGGAGTTTTCTGACCCTGCAAACTCAACCTCTTCTCCAGAAAATGTTATAACCGCTTGCAGGAACGGCTCGAACCCGACGAGAACGACGGCCGAAAGGGCTCCAACGGCCGTCCAATGTCTTTTCACTTGTGTCAGGCTCATGGTGCTTGAAGTTTATGAGGAATCAAAAGACATACCTAAGTTTGGTCCACTATAGCAGGCGGAGGCTTCCCCATGGCCCACGACTGGCCTCCTCGAAGCGATCAAACACCATAATATTGTCGTTTCTTTGGCGGAACCAGTTCCACTTTCCCTGACTGATACACGCACTGATGGCAAAAGCCAGTGATGCTCGGGGAGTAGCTCCAAGAACCGAGATGATAGCGTTGAGGGACACCGGCAACGGCCACGAAGCCAATGGTCGGTTCTCAAAGATGGGTAAAAGGACAAGTATGGCAACCAGAGAGGAGATGCTGATTATTATCGCCCCTATTTCAAGAGCCCAATGGTATTCGCCCGAGGGAATCATTTCACGGCTTTTTTCCCATGCGGTCTTTTTGGTCGTCGAGGGTCGGTTTGATTGTGTTGACTCGGCATCGGCAGCCAGAGCTGCTTCCTGCTCAGCTCTCAGTGCATGCATAAAACTCTCGCGGGAGTCTTCGCCATCGTATGATGGCGGACGTGAGGGAAAAGATCGAGCAGATGAAATATCTTGTCCATGGACTTGATCGGTTAGAGCCAGAGACGCCATGGTGGAGCTGAGAGACCTGAGGTCAAGCCGTTGGAGAAACCTGCTTGTAAGAGCCGATAACGAACGTTGTCTATATACATGACTGATTCGCTTCCTCGACAGCCTGATCGATACCATCCAACAGGAGTGCCACCGCCCGCTGCAAGTCATCTGCCACCAAGGTTGGCCAACAAAGTATTCTCAGCTCTGCAATAAGTCCAAATGTAGTTGGCTGACCAACTGCCAAGCGTCTTCGTGTGGGCATGATGTTGGAGGAAGTATCATCATGATTGGTTGCCTGACTACGATAACCAAGCTTGTCATACAATGACGGCATGCGTTGGGCAGATATGTCTCAAATGCTTAATGTGGCTCAGTCCTTTCAGCTCGATCCTTTGAAGGGTTCTTATGCGGCTGGCTTTAAATAGGTTGCATGACGAAGCTCTGGGAAGTGTATAGCCTCCACCCTGCGAGATGAGCGTTCGCAAGATGATGATGTTCACTCAATGCAAGTCCTATTTCTCTACTTCTGTCGGTATAGTCGATGAGGGTGGAGTGCGTCGAAGCTTCGTATTGACACAGGGAACAATCCAAGTTGAAGCGTATTCAGGACGAAAGTGGCTCTGATGAATTCCCTGATTCACCGGGGCTGCAGACGACATTGATCCATGCAGTGATGGTGTTCATGAAATTGAGTACTCGTTCGCAACGGAGAAAAACGCGGAATCCATGCATGCACTAGAGCGGATGTCGACAAAATATTACAGCTGTTCAAGAAGACCCAGCCACTATGTAAATATATGTAGGCAGTAGGTTGCACGCATTCCTTCCGTAGTCCTGTGCTTCGCTATTCAAAGGCAGATTGACTCATAGAATTCCGAATTTTGATGCAGTAATACATTTGACGGTCGTCACGATCAGTAACTCGCTGGGTATGCATGAGGCATGAGCAGCCAGTACTACAATGAGAGCACTATACGAGATGCAGTGCCATCCTGGAGACTCGGAGCAACACCGATTCTCAGCTCGATCTGCTAAAGACCTGAAGAGCCGTTTGTGAACAGAATGATTGATCTATCTCTTTCTTACATTCGATACAAATTATTTCATTCTCCACAATCTAGCATATTAACCCTAAAGAGCGATTTAACATGATCTGAAAGCGAACCTTGACGAAGGTCGAAACTCAAGAATGCTAGGGAAGCTGAAAATATCGCTTGCCACTATATCGTTGATTCGTGACGCTATTTAGTTCACTATGATATAGAAATCTAGATAGACACATTGCTCAAGAGCTCTCATTATTTCATAAGATACCCTCAGAGAGTATCAGTACCCCTACACATTGGACCGCCAGTGCCCCAAAGCAACCATCTTGTCACGCGAGGCATACGGCCGCTCAAATCTCGGCTCGAACGCATCTTTCTCTATACCGACGCCCCTTTGAAGCCCGTAGCCCGTGAAATCTCTTGGGAAGGGGTTTTCGCCGTTGCCATAGATAAAATCCCCTACCTCGTTATCAAGCCACACTTTCCGCGCCACGACATGGGCGTCCGAGTCAACTCGGACGGAAATACGAGGTCGAACGGATCTCCCGCGCCAGCCAAGCTCGTCTCGGATACCCTCAAGCAGACCCCTAAAACTTCCGCAATTCTTCATGAACCAGAGAGAACTCAGCTCGAGAGATTGAAGCGTTTTCGGAAGCGCCCTTAGGAAATCGAGGAGATCCTGTTGTTTGACGAGGAAAGATGATAGTCCAAAGTGTGTCAATTGCGTCCACGACTCGACCGGGAAGACGGAGCGCAGCGGGACGAAGAGATCTGGGCGACCTGCATTACCCCAACCTTCTTGGAAATCGTAATTACGGTCCTGGTCCAACTCCAATGTGACCTTTTGAAGATTCGCAGACAACAGCTTCCGAAGACGATCGTTGCGGAAGGCATGATAGCTTTTCCATTCCTGGCCACCCGTCATTAGATGCAATGTGAGCGCGGAGAACCCCGACTTATGGACCAACGCGAAGAGATCGTCATACTCTTTGCACGTTTCGTCTCTCGAGAAGATGTCAGCTGTCAGGCCTGACCCGATCTGATTGCCCTCGATAACGAGTTCCGGGACCTTGGCTCGCGTCTGTTGCGCCAAGAGTGCAGTCACGAGGCGGAAGCCACGCCACCTGTTCTTGACATCCTCGCTGTCCCAGCTCTCGGCGCCCATTGTCCAAGGATCGGGCGATGCGGGCCAGCCGCGGGGGATCGGGTAGTTGAAGCCGTGTGGAAATTTCCGAATCATGGGTGTAGGGTACAGAGGCGTGAAGAGGACGCCATGCGCGAGGGGGGTTAAGGTGATCTTTTGTAGGTTGGGAAACATATCGCCGTCTAATGCCCATCTTAAAGCGGCGATGTCGGTTCCTGAAGCTAGGGCATCCCTCTGCTGTTGGAGGAGACCTTGATAGTAGGCGTATGCTACATCCGCGGGCAGCTGCGCGTGGACTTGCTTCGCGGTTTCGATATGTTGCGGCAGGGTTTCGAAATCGGCGTGACCTAGTGTCTGTAGATCCTCGATATTGTTCTCGCACGCTCGTACGTAAAACCAAGGCACGCTTTCTACGGGGTCGTCTGATTCTTCGTCAAAAGACTCCTCGCCGTCGAGACGAATATCTTCGAATCTATCTTCATAATCCTCAGCCTCCAGCAAGCGAGCATCATCCCACACGATCTCACGAACGGCATGTCGGAACGTTTCGTGTTCTGCGACCGCTCGGAAAACCTCAATGTTGCGAGGATTGGCCGAGATGAAGACTCGCTCGAAACGGAAGTAAGGACGCACATCCTTAGAGAACTTGACGTAAGCGAGACGTAGGTTTTTGAGATGGCGGGTAGATAGGTGTGAGAAGATCTCATCAGCCAGCTCGGTAGGTAGCTGGGCTATGGATTCAACGACAGATGGAAATCCCGTAAATGAGTCCGGTAGGGTTGGCGGTCCTGGTAGTGGTAAAGAGGCGGCTTTCGCAGAAAAAAGGTTGCGATTTCCACAAACTTTGGGCATCTTGTCGGTATCGCAGACGGAATGGGATGCGTGTTTGAGAAGTGGAAAACGGAAAGGCGCTACTTAGCCCGTTGGTTAAGTACTGTTGGAATGCCAAATGACGGGTGCGTGTGGACCAACAAGCTTGCAGGGAAGCTCAAGGCAGCAGCTACCCATGCGATTTACGTATCGAGTAACGTCTCAACTCTCGTGATATGGATGATAAATAACAATATTTCGATTGAAGTGCGGTCAAGACTGGGTGCAGTATTAGTCTACCGTTGTCATCCCGCCTACCGCGTACCAGTCGCTTGAGTCAACAATTTTGGCGAAGAAATTGCCCAGCGTACGAGTCTCGAGAAGGTGATTTGACTAACTAGTAGCTTCCCAGGCCCAAGACGATGATGAAAATGCTTTTATCGTAAAGGTGAGAAGGGGTCACGTGAAGAGCGAGTCGGCCCCAAAGATATTTAGGGAGGTCTGCGTCAGGACTGAGCAACAGCGCCCGGAATAAGTGGCCGTGAATATGCCCAGTATGGTAGAACTAGTATGCCAGCTGAACACAGAGATCATGATTATCCAGCGCTGGAGCCCATGGGTTCGAGCCACTTTTTGAACTTTTTTTTCTTTTGATGTTCCTTCTTCAGTACCTGATCAATGGAAATTGCCGAACCAATACCTCCCGGGAAGCGCTATGAAATGCTCACGACGGAGACAATTAGAGTTACACCACCCATCCGAGCATAACACTCACTCGTTTTGATGTCCCTTTAAGACACAAATCCTTCACCTGCTCCACCTCATTCGATCCCATTAGCAGCCTGCTGCTCCCCGACGAGCACGGTGCTTTCCTCTGGCCTGTCCTGCTGGTCCTTCTCCTCGTAGTACTTCTCAACATCCTTCACAACTTGCCTTCCGGCAAAGTTCTTCATCAGCTTCTGCCCGTCGCACCGCATGTGGTGCTGGTACCAGTGCGGCATTCCCCTGAATGATCCCAGCAGAGACCCAACGGCGGGCAGGATGACTTGTCCGCTCGTACCCTCAAGAACCTTCTTCACGATTGCTTCTGCCACGGTCTCGGGCTCCAGGGCGGGTATCAAGAACTGCAGACCCTGCTCGTAGCCGGTGAATAGCGGCGTCTTGGTGTATCCCTGGTTGATCAGGACCGTCCGCACGCGAGGGGCGTTATACTTGGTCACGAGTTCAGCAGAAAGACCTTCGTGGAAGGCCATGGCGGCGGCCTTGGAGGCTCCGTAGTCGACCATGTTGGGGACCGTCAACCACGCGGCGTAGGATGCGATGGTGACGACCATGCCGTGATTGGTGGCGATCATGTTCGGGAGGAATTCCTTGACGGTCCAGAAGTGGGCAAAGGTGTTCACATCAAAGGTGAACTTGACATCACGCTCGGTGGAGTCGAGGATCGTCTTGCCGCGGGCGACGCCGGCGTTGTTGATGAGGACCGTCGGGTGGCCGATGCGAGCGCGAATCTCCCGTGCCACGGCGGCGAGCTTTTCGGTTGAAGTGATGTCGCAGTTGAAGTAGTGGACGTTGGAGGCTGTTGACTGTGTTAGTGAACGGTTTGAAGCAAGAGGCCATGGCGCCCTATGGCGACAGGGGGAATGCCTTACCCGCAGTGTAGGTCAGCTCCTGAATGTCTAGTACCACGACGGTGGTGCCACGCTCAGCGAACAGTTGAACTACTTGACCTCCAATACCACCAGCGCCACCGGTCACGAGGACGATCTCCTTGGACCAGTTGTAGCGGTCGGAGACCCAGTTGTTCAGCGAGCGCGACGAGAGCCACTGATCGGCCATTCGCAGCACCGAAAGCCATGCCAACTTCTTGAGGCCCGAGAACGCTGTCGGGTGTAGAATGGCAAGGTCGCCGCCTTTCTTGGTGTAGCGGGCGAGCAGGAGCAGCGGCAGCACGAGGGCTGGGTTGAGGGCGGTGCGTCCAATGAGGCGAAAGATGGGATCGGCGACGAGGCCCTCGCGAGGGAGGAAGCCCTGGTGCATCGGCATTCTGAGGTTCGACGCGGTTGTTACGCGTGGGCCGTTCCACCAGAAGAGGTTGGCGATGGTGTGTTGGCACAGGTGAGTTTGTGGAACCAAAGGCTCTTATACCTGGGAGGGCAGGAGCGAAAGCGAGGTGTAGTTGATGGAAACCAGCACAACTGGAATCAGAAAATCAGATGGCAGCTCAGGGTCGGAGCGAAGGCTGGCTATGGGTTACAAGAATAACCGTAAATCGACCCAACTTCTGGGCGCGGGCTCAACCTTTTCCAAGAAGCTTCTGCGGGTGCTCTCACAACGTCATCAACACTATCGAGGGTGAGATGCGTAGGTGGGAAAAAAGGAAGGAGGCAATGTCTAACATCACACCACCGAGTTTCCGGCAAGCGACCCCCATACTTAAAGCAGTTTCAACGGCTGGGGGGAAAGAGGGCGTCCGGGAAATAGACGAGCAAGGGTCGTTGGAGCTCCAAGCTCCTTGATGCTGAGTACCTTCATAGTGTAGGTGTTGCTTGGCGAGAACAGCTGCCGCCATCCATGTGCTGTGCTGTTTCTGCCCGTTTCCCAGCCTTTTGCAGCTTGAGCAGCGGTAGCGGCAGGTAATGCGCAGCCGAGGTTTGGTGCGGCCGAGCCAAAGTGCGGGGAATCTGGGGGAGGCACCGTTGCAGTTGACGGGACCAGGGACTAGGACTGCTGATTCGGACGCGAAGTCCGCCTAGAGCGCGTTCTAATAGGGCGAGCCATTCACTGTTGTACGACGGGAGAGCTAGAAGGTCGGTGGGGATGGTTTTGCACTTTGCGCATGTGAGGCGGTTATCGGGCGATGGGCGTTGCCATTTCTGGAGAGCAGTTCGTCGGCGAATGAACGGGGAGGGGGGTCACCGGATGGCATGGACGTCGCGGATGGCCACCGACCCGGGGGCTCTGAGAGGAGTGGTGGAGCCCCGGAAATGGGGCTCCAGCTGTGTGCGTAATAGACTGGCCGACCAGATCGCCTGAGAAGAAATTGAGTCTAAATGGATTCTTTCTTTTCTTGTAAAGAACCCCTGCCTGGATTCGCCAGAGTTTAAATTGTGGTTTTTCTAGAAGGGGAATATTGTTCGGCCGTTAAAGCGTGTACTACCTTGCTACCAGGTCGCTGCTGGTGTCATCCGTCCCGCCAACGAATACGAGCGAGTCTCTCGGCTCGATTAAGCAGCCGTGTCCTATTATGTACAGCACATCGTCCCGGGTATCACGAAAATAAGATGATTACGTCTGATCCGCCGTCTCACTTACAGCATCAGTGCGGCGCCGATGCTCAGCAGGCACAGCCAATGCGCCCCGTCTCTCCAGCTGAGCGTGCTGCCGGCTCCGAGGCCGTCGCCGGGCGTCGCCTCCGGCTTGGTGTCGCCTAACCCGTCGTCGTTGCCGTTGCCGGCCTTGACTTCGATCTGCGTCGAGTCTCCCGGCGCGAAGAGGACGCCGATGGCGTTTGCGGCTGTGGCGTTGAGTTCTTGGTCGCTGAGCAGGGGGTTGTTCAGCGCATCGCAGGAAGGCCGCCCGTTCTTTTGCGAGATGCTGTTTGTGACGGAAATCGGCACATCAAAGATTGTGTAGTGGTCTTCGCCGTTTAAGCGGTAGTTTTGGCGGATTGAAATCTGGAAAGCTTGTTAGCGCGGGGGATGTGTGGAGGAGGCGGGTGGCGCACGTTGTAAGCGCCACGGTCGCTGCCGGTCGAGGATGGCTGGCCATCGCCGACCAGACAGTCGGGCCAGATCCAGTTGACGTGCTTCACCGTGCTGCCGGGCTCTTGGAACATGATGTCGCCCAGACTAGTGTTGTTGGCTGATGCCGTGCCGTTGGTGATGGTAAAATTGCGGCCGGTGGTGTAGCTGGACAGGAACATTGTGACGTTGAAGATCTTGGTTGGGCTGTTCGAGGCATAAGGCGGCAACGGCATCTTGCCGTTCGTGGATACGTCCAGCGCAACATGAAGATTGTCTACATCGGTCAACACCAAAAAGCTCACCATTATTGAAACTTCAGATGCTTACCTCCTCCGAGTGGTGTGCCGGGCTGTGGGGCGTCGAGAATGACCAGACCGGGCGTAAAGATCTGGCCGTTGGCAATCGTAAAGTTCAGGTTCTGGGCCGAGCCGGAGGTCGCGAACAGAAATAGCAGCGCCGCCGCGTACGAAAAGGAAGAAACCATCATGGGCGGGAAGATAGACGCTGCGTTGCAGCCAGACGGCGAGAAGTGAATCGAGACACGCAAAAACGGGTGAAGAGGATCAGAGCTGCAAGCCCTCGGAAGGACGGCAACAATGAGTATTTAGGCCGCCTGAAGCATCCAAGACTCTGGGAATGACAGGGTCCTGGATTCAGCAAAACGAAGGGAAAAGTGGGAACCGGCCCTAAACCAGAGGGTATTTAGATGCGGGCTCACTCTCAGGAAATGAGCATTTGGTACCCGCGGGATGGGTGCTGGGATGGGTTGGATGAAGAGGGTGGGAGGACGGAAAAATAGGACCAGAACAAGATACCAAGAGACTGGGACGTCAGCAGGTCTTGACTCTACCAGAGGAGCCGACTCTGGCAGAGAAGGCAAAAGCCTGGAACCTCCCATCCGTTCCATGAACACCTCCTCGCCCGTAGACAGCGGCGATCCGACACGGCGAACGGCAGATAACCTTGAACTTAAGAGCATTAAAGTCATGCCGTGTCCCTCCCGGATGACAGCACCGGGCCAGGCGTTCCATCGCGACAGGCTCAGGCTGGCAGGCTCACGATACGCGGTCTGCCCTCCGTCTGTGCATGACGTGGGCAAGGGCAGAGCGAATGGAACACGACAGAGAAGCCATATAACAGCTGGGAATTAAGATGGCAGCCCCGCGGATGTCGAAGGGTGCGACGCCCTCTTGATGCAGGGCAGGTTTCAGATTGAACAGGCGTAGAGACGGTGGAGGACGGGTTCCTGCAATGTCCATGAAGTCGAGAATGGTGGCCCCCGCTGAATGGAAATGAGACGCTGTGACGCACGAGCCAACGCCTAATTAAACCCATAGCACACGCTCTACGCTAAACCAGTGGAGTTTTTGGCCCCCTCGGTCTCTTCGGCTCGCTGTTCCGCCGCCAAGGGGCTTCAATTCTCTTTCCCTCATGCTTCCACTCACTCATATCATCACAGGTTATATTCTTTGCCTAAACCCATCAAATCTTGATATCTCCCCCCCTTTGTGTGAGAAATGTTCTTGCCTCTATCATTCTCGATGGCGACTGAGTAGCGCATCTGAGGCGAAGAACGCATGAAAGTGTATTCTGACTTGCCGCCGTTATCACATTTATTCAGCGTTGAATCCCACAAGATGTTCAAGTTGAACGGCGTTTGCGCGGCGGATACCCAGGGCAGAGCTTGACGAGACTCGCCGCGCTTACACTGTTTGAGATCAAGTCCCTGATTCCGTCAGATGAGAATGTGATCTCTTGTATTCCAAAGACTACGTCGCAGCAGTCAAAAGGATGTCCTTTTTGATGCACTGCGGTGACTTCCATGAGACTGATAATAGTTGAGGGTAACCTGAGTGAGCCCGACTAACGGCGCTGAGAGTCTAGGTAGGTTAGGTCGATTGAGCTTGACCTGATAGGCGGAGACAGTGTGGTCCAGTGGATCAAACCGTGTTCTTCAGTGGATCGCCCTCCCGATTACATTGTCTTCGAGAGGGCGTGTGCACTTCGGCCGGTTCCGACCTCATCCTCAATTCATGTAAAAGCCTCCCGGCCTTGCTCATACATCAATCGACTCATACGCATCGCGATAGCATCAATTGACCACGTCTGAACTACAGTGGACTCACTCACACAGTAAGAGCACCTTTCGATTCTTTAAACGGGTTTGCCACCGACCAATTCCGCGCCGTTAGCTACCTGTTCGTCGCTCGCACGCCGAGTGCCGAGGCACGCTCCAGCCAGCAAACATGATCGTACCGCGCTCCTCTTGCCGGCTGGCGAGACAATCACTCTCACAGCTTCAGTTCTGCCGGAGATCAAATCGCACCGCTCCCGCCGGCACGATCCTCGGGCGCCAGACACAGCGGTACATGAGCGCCGCCGCCTACCAGACCCCCGCAGGCTTGAAGGATCTTCTGCGTGTATCGGACGAAGTCGCCGACGCCGTTGCAACGAACAAGCCCGTTGTGGCTTTGGAGTCTACCATATACACTCACGGCGCGCTGGGTAATGATCTCGGTCTGGAGGACGTCGTCCGTCAGGGCGGTGGTGTGCCTGCTGTGTGCGGTATTCTCAATGGACAACCTGTCGTGGGTTTGAACGAGGAAGAAGTTGCTTTCATGGTCAACTCTGGAACCGCCAGCAAGGTTTCCAGACGAGATGTTGCTCACTTGGTCGGCTTGGTAAGTCCCGCACATTGGGTCTGCTCATTACATTGGACTCGCTGTCTGGCATTTTCTCTCCTCGTTTGCCCGTCATGAAAATCACGTTCAACTAACACAGCGCAGGGCATGACCGGCCGTAAAGTTCACGGTGGCACAACCATTGCCGGCACGATGCTCCTCGCCCGCCTCGCCGGCATCCGCATCTTCGGCACCGGCGGCCTCGGCGGCGTCCACCGCGGCGGCGAAAACAGCATGGACGTCTCTGCAGACCTCACTGAGCTCGGCCGCACCCGCGTAGCCGTCATCAGCGCCGGCTGTAAGGGCTTCCTCGACATCCCCCGCACTCTCGAGTTCCTCGAGACCCACGGCGCCTTCGTCGCCACCTTCGCCGATGGCCGCACTGGCAAGGTCGACTTCCCCGCCTTCTGGGTCCGCGAGAGCGGCACGAAGAGCCCCCTCGTCGTCGAGACCGAGCGCGAGGCCGCCGCCATGATCCTCGCCCAGGAGAGGCTGAACATTGAGTCCGGCATGCTCTTCGCCAACCCCATCCCCGAAGAACACGCGATCCCTCGTGAAGAGATGGACGTCGTCATCGAGACGGCCGTCAACGAGGCTCTGGAGAAGGGCTTCACGGGAGCGAGAAACACCCCGTACGTCCTCGGCAGGATCAGGGCGCTGACAGAGGAGAGGAGCACGCTGGCCAACGTGGCGCTGGTGAGGAACAACGTGGCGCGGGCCACCCAGATCGCCGTCGAGCTGTCCAAAATGCTGAACGAGGGCACGGAGTCCGTGTAAGTGAGCTGCTCCGTGTGTATATAGCCCAGCCAGAAGATAGGTTCTGACTGCGTAGATAGCTCTTCAAGCAAATTATTTGCCGGATATGACGCTGCTGCAAAGCCTGCGACGAAAGTCGAAGCCCCTAAGTCGAGCAAGGCGGATGTCCTCGTTGCAGGCTCGGTAGCTATCGATCTAAGCTGTGACTACCATCCTCTGGGCGACGTTAAGGAGATCTCGCCTCACATGCACACTTCCAACCCCGCTTGTATCAACCAGTCCATCGGCGGTGTCGGTCACAATGTTGCCCTCGCCGCACACAGAGTGAGCAAGGATGTGAGCGTCCGCCTTTGCAGCATGGTTGGAGACGATGTGTAAGCTGCCTTCCTTCCCCTCTTCGCATATTACATGACTGAACTCCCCGTAGCGCCGGGAAGACGGTCCTGTCCTCTCTCGAGTCATCCGGCCTCGACACGACCTACATCCGCCAACTTGGGTCCGAGTACCACCACTCGAACCGCACCGCCCAGTATGTCGCCGTCAACGACGCCGAGAAGAACCTCGTGGTCGCCATGGCCGACATGGGAATCTTTGCCAACCACTCCTTCCCCGAATACTGGAAGTCTGCCGTCTCGGGCGCGAAGCCCGGCTGGCTCGTCGTCGACGGCAATTGGAGCCCCAAGGACATCCGCGCCTGGATCCAGGCCGGCCGCGAGCAGGCTTGCGGCGTCGCCTTCGAGCCCGTCTCGACGGCCAAGTCGATCGGTCTCTTCCCCAGGGAGCACCCTCACCTGGGCGTCTTCCCGAACCCGGGCATTGACATTGCGTCGCCGAATAACTTTGAGCTGACGGCCATGTACACGGCTGCCAAGGAGAACGGCTTCTTCGATACGCCGGAGTGGTTTGAGGTCATCGATGCGTTCAACATGCGCGGCGCGAGGGATCGCTTTGTGCAGCTTACGTCCGCGGAGATGACGGATGCGGGTATTCCGGTGCAGACTATCCACCTTCTGCCGTACATCCCCACGCTCGTGACGAAGCTAGGATCAAAGGGAGTGCTTTTGACTACGATCCTGGGACGGGATGATCCCCGTCTCAAGGACAGGAATGAGGAGAGATGGCTTCTTACGAGGGCGCCTGTTGATCATCCTACTGTTGGAGGCGTGTACATGCGTCTTTTCCCACCGGCGGAGAAGGTTGCGATTGAGGACATTGTGTCAGTCAATGGTGTTGGAGATACCTTCTTGGGTGTCATGATTGCGGGCTTGGCAAAGGGAGGCAAGGTTCAGAACTTGATTGATGTTGCGCAGAAGGCGGCGGTATTGACTTTGAAGAGCCATGAGAGTGTGAGCCCGGATTTGGGTCGGCTGGACGAGGCGTTGAAGGCTGCAGTGAGGCCCTGATGGCCTGGTTCTCAGTAATGAGAATAGAATCAGCGAGCTAGGCACGTAAGTAATTGAGGGTACAGTAACCGCGCTATCAGATGTGCGACAAGTCATTGTCTCTTAACGTTCCTTGTTCATACTGCGTCAAAGCCTCGGGGGTGGTTAAAATCGCAGTGAAGTGCGAACACGCGCTCTTGGCACACAATAGTGAGGCTGACGGGGCATCTTTGGTTGGGCACAAAGTGGTAAGAATGGAACCAGCGCCCTCAGACTTTGGATGCGATTGGTCTCCAGCCGTAGGAATTTTTATGCTACATCAGGGCCCCGGAGGTGTTCAAAATTGCATTGAAGATTCGCAAAGCCGGCTATGATACCCGTTCTCATGTTTCTGGTGATTCGAACTCACCTCCAGATTGGGTTCGAATCTACAAATGATAATAGCTGGCAGAGCTGTGCCCAACTGTTTCAAAATTCGGCATTAGATATATGCGCCACTAGGAAAGATGATGAAGTGAGGGTGAAACCTCAGCGAGCACATGGTAAGGCTCACGACGGACAGCATTGAGATAGACAACATTCCTGTTCCATTGAGTTCGTCGTCCTCCCATGTAAGTAACACGCGGTAAATAGGTGCTCATCAAAGGCAAGTTCAGCTTTAATCTCCATTACAGCCTAGGTGATTGGGTCGAAGTTACGACCTATACTTCTGGGTAAATGAATGTTGTGTGGTAAACTTGAAGGGTTCGGTACACGGTCAGATTCCGTATTGGATGTTTGTTGGCTGGGTACCGTTTCCGCCCCTGTTTCACTGCAACTCAACCCTCCCCCGAAGGGCGTGAGAATGGTAGTAATCGAACAAGAAACCCGGCCAATGTTCTTCCCATCAATTACTACTCAAAGTCGAGTTCTTAATGATGATTTCTACGTTATTCAGTACACTCATCAACGCTTATATGAAATGGCTTGTAGCGGCGTACGACAGTAGAATCATGTAAAGAGATTTCCCTTTTTCATCCTTGGAATGAGATACGTTGTTGCGTCTTCGAAATTGCCCCACTGTACGCAGCGCAGCAACCATGCGCAGCAGTGTGGTGCCACTGCGTGTTGGAGGAGGGGCAGTGCCCCACCTTCAGCCTGAAGACATAGCTTTGTCTCATTGGCTGTTAGCCACTTGTGGCTGAAACCACCTACCAATCAGGTTCTGCTTCCGTCTGCAAGGCTGCACGCCCCCGGTAAAAAAATTCTGGACGTCTTTACAGTCGCCAACACACTCCCACCTCGATCTCTGGTGCGCCGAAGACCTCAAAATCCTTGTCATTCCCACGACCGCGACAATGGCCAACGAGCAGCCCTTCGAAGAGTTCCCCGACGAGGAGGAAGTCACTTCGTCTTCGGAATCTGAGCAATCTGAGCTCGAAGCAGCCATCCGCCAGCGCAACCCGCAGACTGTCTTTGACGAGAAGGATTCAGACGAAGAGGAACTTGAGCGGTTGGTACTGGGAGGCAAGGCCGACTTCCGCGAACAGCTCTTCCGCAACGATGTTTTGGGCGATATCGAACGGTTGGAGAAGGAGAGGAATCAACACCTTGTCGCGCAAGACAAGACCACACTAGAGGATGCCGCCGACCATGACTTCTTCATGCTCGACACCGGTGTCCCCTCGGCCAAGGGCTCGCAAGCCGGCAAGCAGAAACCCGCCGCTGTTGATCCCAATGCACCGGCATGGGAGGACAGTGATGACGAGCGATTGACGGTTTCCCTGGCGAACGCGACGAGGTTACGGAAGCTGAGAATCAGCGAGGGCGAGGATGTCGTTAGCGGCGCCGAGTACAGCAGAAGGTTGCGCCAGCAGTATCTCCGACTGAACCCCCTGCCGAAGTGGGCTCAAGAATCCGAAGAGCGCCCGTCGAAGAGGAGAAGAAGATCGTCAGCCGCTGCCTCCGACTCCTCCATCAGCTCCGACGAGGAGGGCGGCGACGATGACCTGTCCGCCGCGCCCCTGGAGAAGTTCCTCCGCGACGTCCACCGCCTTGCTGGCAAGGACTCGAATGGTAGGACCCGCCTCAGGCCAGAGACCATCGACATCCAGCGCACGCGCGAGATCCCCGACGCTCACAAGGCCTCCGTCAACAACCTCTCCTTCCACCCGAAATACCCCGTCCTCCTGTCCTCCAGCGTCTCGTCCGTTCTGTACCTGCACCACATCAACCCGACGGCACACCCTACCCCGAACCCGATGCTCACCTCCGTGCAAGCGAAGGGCGTCGACGTCCGCCGCGCCGAGTTCCTCTACCCATCAGGCAACCAGATCTTCTTTGCCGGTCGTCGCAAGTTCTACCACAGCTGGGACCTTGAGACTGGCCAGGTGCAGAAGACCGCCCGTGTCCAGGGCCACCAACACGAGCACAAGACGATGGAGCGCTTCAAGCTCAGCCCTCGTGGCCGGTACATGGGTCTCGTTGCGTCCACCAGGAAGGGCGGTGGTATTGTCAACATCATCAGCACCGAGTCCAGGCAATGGATCGCCTCGGCACGCCTCGACAGTAGACACGGTATCGCGGATTTCGTGTGGTGGAGCAACGGCGAGGGTCTCACCATTCTCGGCAAGGACGGCTCCGTCGGCGAGTACTGCGTCGATGACCGCAAGTTCCGCGCTGTATGGCATGACGAGGGCTGTGTGGGCGGCATCGTCATCGCGTTGGGAGGTCACCAGGGTCCCGAGTTTCTGGGCGAGGACAGATGGGTGGCGATTGGCTCCAGCAGCGGTATCACCAACATTTACGACCGCGAGGCGCTCGTCACAAAGTCCAAGGCGGGCGAGGTCAAGGTTGTGGAGCGCCCCGAGCCGACGCGCACCTTTGAGCAGCTCGTCACGCCCATCACGACGCTGACATTCTCTCCGGACGGCCAGCTGATGGCTTTTGGTAGTTATGAGAAGAAGGACGCGCTGCGTTTGGTACACCTGCCTACTTGCACGGTCTACAGGAATTGGCCCACGGCGCAGACGCCCTTGGGCAGAGTCACTGCTGTTGCGTTTGGAAGACAGAGCGATCTGTTGGCGGTTGGTAATGACACGGGCAAGATTAGACTGTGGGAGATACGGTCCTAGAGCAGAGAGCACGGGTAGGAAGTTTGTATAGACGGCTGGCGCATCAAAAGTTGGCTGCTGGGTAATTACTGTTTCCATGAATACCAGAATCCCTTCATACCCCTCCAATGGTCCCTATCCATCTCTGATTCCAATCCAACCCAAGACAAATGGCCGAAGTTCGTTTCCATGCTTAGTAGCAGCGACTGAGCTCACGCATGAGGGCGCGCATGGGAGTTCCGCGGGTAATGAGATCCTTGGGAACCAACTTCTTGCTCTTGCGCGACCAGTGGGCAAGCTTGTAGACGTTCTTGAAGAAGATGACGGTCTCGGGCTTGGGGACGGCGTCGAGGAACTGACGAATGTTGACATGGACAGTTCTGATAGCCTAAGAGAAGAAACCCGTGGAGTTAGCATGTATTCGAAGGCCATGAAGTCTCAGGCGCTTACTTTGCGACACTGTGTCTTGCTAGGCAGGTCGGTGGGCAGACCCAAGTCATCGCAGAGGCGCTGCCAGTCGTCGAGGTCACCATCTCCAAAGTACTCATCCCAGTCCGAGATGAGCTCAGCCAAGAAGGCCTCCTTCTGTGTCTTCTTGTCGGTCTCCTTGTCGGCGATTCCAAGATCAGACATCTTCTGGGTTATCTCCTCGTTGAGCTTGTCGACCATGTTCTGCGCAACCTTCTGCGCGTTCTGGAGACTGCGGATCTCATCGTCGATCTGCTTCTTGGCGAAGGTGACCTCAGCCAGGGTCTCGGCCAACTTCTGCTGGTTCTGGTCAGAGATCTGCTCGTTCTGGTTGGCGACATCGGCGACGATGTGTTTCTCCTGCTCCTTCTCTAGGGTACGTCTCTCCTGGGCACGCTTTTTGTAGGCACGTCGCTTTTCTCTCTTCTTCTCTCTCTTGGCGGCCAGCTTCTCATCGACGTCCGTGGTCATGTCCTCCTCTTTCTGGTCGGTAACATCGCCGTCGGCCTGATTGTCGTCGACGGTGGGGCTCTCGGTGACGCCGTTGACAACAGCATCGCGGACAGACTTCTCGTCAACAGACTTGTTGTCGCCAGACTGATACTTGAAGGAGTACTCGTGGACAACCTCCCAGTCCTCGACATCAGAGCCGGGCTGATCGACCTCTTCAACACGGCCGCCGGTGTTCTCTTGGGAATTCTTGTCGGTAGCCATTTTGTTGTTGTACGTGCAATTAATTTGTGAAGCCAAGTTGTCGATCCGAAGAGCTGCCTGTGCAATTCTACCTCAGTAAGGTAGTTCTTCTGAGCAAGAAGAGGCTGATTAGATGGAGTTTTGGTCCTAGGGACGTGCTGGGGGAGAGGCAGATAGGCTGCCAACCTGTGTTGTAGGGTTGTGATGATGTGTGGTGAAAACTTCAGAGAAGAAATCGGAAGTAAAATACAGGGAAAAGGTCAAGGTGAGATTTGAATCAAGAGGGCACAAACGAAGGAAAGAGCTGCAAGGTCCCGTTCGATTTGAAGGGTAGCGTTTGATGGTCTTCGACACAAGGCCTGCCAGAGAAAGTAATGCATGGCCAAAGAAGCGGGCTGCAACGACAATGGGTGAACCCAAAGAACTGCGCAAAGCTCATATCACAACCACGACAATATACTGAAATGGACGACTGCAGTGCACAGCAGCTCCGTCTGTCTTTGCTGGGTAACCTCACTGACACGTAAGTTAGAGTGCCAGGGAAATGATTGAGGTCAAAGCTCGCAAAGATGGCCTGGCTCAAGACTCAAAGACTCAGGAGTTTTGAATGAATGAATTCGATTCTCTGCTTTTTAGTCTTTTGACGAATGATGAGTTTCATCTTTATCACAACTGACATAGTGTGTCTGAGAACTGATACTGGGATTTGAAATAGAATAGTTACTATTATAACAAACAGATCACAGCCAGTCATATAAGCATGTGAGA